TTTAGTTCGTCACAAAACAAGTTTTTTGAAAATATTTTCATAATTTTTTATTATTTTAGTTTTTTATTGTTGTTATATTGAAAGTTTTATACATTTTCTAATGATTACATAATTTTTTTTTAAAGCATAACATATTTCCAGTATTTTTATGTATATAAATATATTGCTTTGTAATAAGAACCAAAAGCAACCCCATTGTTAATTATAAAATATGAATTGTTCTAAAATAGATTAATTGAAAAAATGGCTAGATCAGAAAAATTTAAAAAAAAACTCATAATACAAGAATTATTTTTGACTTAATTCACCAAATTAATATTTAGTCATGCTACCATGATGTAGGTACCTTATGTCCATGTACCCAGTGACTAGAAATAACTTAAATTTAAAATATTTTAATTACAATTCACATTTCATAGTAAATTATATTCTTAAAATATCAAATAAACTTCAAAATAAATTATGATTTGAGTAAACTTATTATCTGCCAACTAGCATATAAATATAGGTATCTACTAACTTTTTGGTTCCACATTTTTTTCTTCTTGTATGTACTAAGTAGTTATATTTAATGTAAGTAAACTAAATAATTTAATCTTTAAAAAGTTTAAGTAAACATAGGATTTTAAATAGAAATAAATAGAAAACTATACTTAATACTTATATACTATCTCAATGTACCTAAATGTACAATGTTATAATAGTATAATAAATTTATTTAAGTCATTTTTAACACCTGAATGCTAAATAAACATGATTACAGTTGTATTATATATTTTTAATTTTTATAATAATGCTGTATAAATGTATAATACTGGATATCCATTCTATAGGTACCTACTACTGAAAAATTTATATTTGAGTTACTAAAATTGTATAAATATTAAATGGCAATAAACCAATAATTTGATAGCATATAGTTAATAACCAAAATTGAGAACCAAAATTAGAGAACCAAAATTGTTCATTTTACTGTCAAAATGTTCAGAAAAAAATCTTTACCGTAATTCATCAAAAAATATAGTGGTTACCATTTGAAAAAATTAAGTTTATTTCATTATTGGTACAACTGGGTGTTCAAAAATGTTGAAAATGTTATAAAAAATTGTCTATTAAAAATAAAAAAAACATGTGTTTTTTTTGTTTCAACGAAATTCCATATCATGGATCCATAATTGTTAAAAAAAAACCCACGTACAATGACTCTCTGTATATTTTTTGTATAGTAAAATATTATTCTATAATATTATACAGTCGTTAATATGTAATGATACAATTATTTTGAAGTTAAAGTTGAAAGGGGGCACACTAAGTGTATGATGTCTCCCGATGTCAATTGATCCTTAATAGGGGCTTGTACTTATCTTTCATATATATTAAATTTAAAGATGCAACAGTAATACAACGACAGAGCACGGCCACACGTCAAGTACCTAACATGGTTATTGGTAGGTGGTAGTCACGTTCATAGGAAAGAGATTATAAAGATCAACACCAAAGAACTATTCTAGTCATAGATCTATTAACCTAAGTTCTATGATTCTAGTCGTAAACATTTGTAAATCGTTCGTAAATAGTAGTCTGATATCCATATCTTCCTGATAACTGATAAGTCATAAGTCATAATCGTGGACACGCAGTATAATATTCTACTAAATTCGAATAATTCTATTTAACTATACCTACAGGCTACAGGCTACAAGTTACAATTAATTGAAGTTATTACTAAACGTTAGTTACTATTTATTTTTACTATGGGTCGACCTTCAAAGCAAAAAGCTATTGTTGACAAATATTTTACCAAGTATTATGTTGGAAATATTGAAAAACGAAAATGCTTATTTTGTAAAGAGGTTTATGCCCATAATGCATTTCGTTTGGTAAATAATTTCTTAATATGTACAAAAACTGATTGAAAAAAGTAAACACTTACTAATTAAATAATTACATAGATACTAATTAAAATTACTGCAAATATTAAAACCTAATATTCAAAACTTAAAACCAATACATTTTCATATATTTTCTATTAGGTAGTTATTAATTTATTACCAGAATGCCATTTCATAATGTAATAATCAAAATGCTTTTTTATTCATTATTCATTATTCATCAATAAACTGAAATATTATTGATCTTACATTCTTATTATACTCTGGTAGCCATATATTTAACAATTATCTAAACTTCATGCGATTTTTGTAAAATACTGTATTAATGTATTATACACGTATAATACAGGTATTATACAATTGAAAAATAAAATACGGTATTTTTACATCACTGGCTATAGTAACATTATCTGTAGGTTCCTATATGTAATGATTTATAATATATTGCTGACGATTGTTTTATTAATATCGTAGATATGGGTTTCAGAACGTGTATAATGTACATAGGCGCCTACTACATATTATTATACTATTATATTATTATATGCTGCCGTAGCAGTTTTAAAATGTTTAAATTTGTTTTATTCATATTAGAAGTGCGTCAAGTGGATCTATTTAAATACTACATACCGGTATAAAAATAATATTACTAATAAGAAAAACGTATTTAACCATACATTTTTTCATACGCAAAATCAAAATGTGTACTTACCTTTTAGAATTAGAAAGAATTTCAGTTGGATTTTAATATAATTGTTCACTTTATAATTAAAACCAAAAATCCCGAGTAATTTATGTACATTAAAGGGGTTTATAAAATGCGTACATTCTACGACATTTATTTGTTTTTAATTCCAACAAATGTAAGTGTGTTTTAGTACAGTTTATATATTTTTAGCCCTTGGGGGTGTAATTTTTAATTAAGAAAATAAGAAAGCTTTATGCTTTCATAAATTTACTAGTAAACTTTTCTGCGCGCATACCTACCTATATGGTTATACCAACTATACCCATACTATACGAATACGAGTTAAGTACCTATATTATAATGATATAAAACATAACTGCACACAATTAAACCTTCCTATAAACGAAATTACGACCAGTAAACGAAAATTGAAATATTTCTACGTAGGTAGGTACATGGCCAGCACTCACAAGTCGCAAGTACCTACACATATGTTTGTGTTAATTCGGCTGTAATGTGCTAGTAGGTAAGTATACTCCTTTTACTGTTACCTATAAATAATATCAATTTTAACGGGAAAATTATTTTATTATCATATTGCTGTCGTTTGCTGAGACGCGTGGAATATTTATATTTTAATTTATCACTTCGTGTAAACTCGTAATTCATATACAGGTACTCAATATCGCTAACTGAAGTATATATAAGGAAGTTTTTTTTTATTCGAAAATGTTTATCTTGAAAGATGAGGCTGTATATATATATGTAAACAAAATAATTCAAATATAACACTTAAGTAGCGTGAATGCGACGAAATAATATAAACAAATTGTATTCTATGTAGGCAATACTTCACTGCTATTACTTGAGGTAAATAAAGTCGTTGTTGACGTTATAATAAAATTGCTTAGGTATACGCCGTAAGCCCGTGCAGCAATCACTTTTGCGAGGACTTAATAATAATGACATTTTTACTTTTTAATGTTATATTTACTTTAGAAAATAAAATCTCAATTTAAAAAAAAAAATTACATTGAACATTTTTTTACCAGTTTGCGCTTACACCATTTTATAATAAATATCTATTATAATATTATGTAGAGTAAAATATGAATTGTTTAAAGAACGATAACAGAAGACCCGACAGTTTAACGATTTAATTTACCGACCACTATGGCTTATATATTATGTTAGTAAACTACGCAGGTAAAACATTTTAAAAATTACAAGTTTTCGTTTTTTTTATAATTGCATTTAAAAAGTCTTATAAAATCTAATGGTTATAAACTTATAAATCAATTAAATTTCAACACATTTTTTTAAAATTAAAATACATGTTTTTGAACACAGAATGTTTTAATGTAGATACTTATGTAAAAATGTAAAATATATAATTTTTTAACACTTGGCAGGACTCAATTAAATCAAATTTGGTAAATTTTGTATACCTACAGTATACATATTACATTATCACAATTCACAGCTATTATTACTATAAGGTATCATAACCAATATCCATATGATCGTAAATCATTTATAGATTTTATGGTAAAACTATAATAAATAAAATAATTTAAATGACTATGATGGAAAAAGTGACAGAGTTCTCTCGAGCTTTGGCAGTAAGTTGGAAGTATTTTAACATTATTATTGCTTATACAATATACATACTTATACCATGTAGTATGTACGATTGTCGATCAACTTATAATAATAATAACAGCTTTCGTACACATTTCAAATTCAACATGCTCAAGTTCAACACGAGTTAACATGAGTTAACGATTATAAATTTACAATGGATTCAAGTGAACCTAAAATCGAAATACTGATGGAAGTTTTTTGAGCAGTGAATTTATCGACCACCTGCTGCAGTGGAGTTCGACATTAATCACTATAATATAGTATATTATATAATATATATATAATCGTACAGTTATTTTACTCGTTTCTGAAATGGGAAAAATTCTATAAATAATATAATTGTAAAAAGCGTCTTAAACTTTTGACGGTATTTGATTTCATCGGAAACTTTAGAGTACCTACCTATATTATATACCATAAGTATTAAGTATAAAATGGCATATAGTAATTAGTAAGACAGAACAATAGCACGGCTTTAGATAGAGCTATCTAAAGCCGTGGTTTATCTTTTGTCTATGCGTGGTCGTTACCAACTAGGTGCCTGCAGCCTATAATAGTATTGTTTATATTTTTTAATTTTATAATTTATTAATCAGTCTAATGTGTGACTAGTTTCACTCATTTACAATTATTAAGTGTATAATTTAATTGTTATCTCGATTTTTTTTATATATAAATATCTGTGCATTTAAATTCAATTTAAATAGTCTTGTGTAGGACTCGTTGAAGTTTACAACTCAGGTTTCAATAGTCTAAATATTAATACTTCATTTAACATGGCTAATGAAGTTTATATTGTATCTGCCGTCCGTACACCAATAGGTAAGCATTTGGAACAAATTCACTTTAGCTACCCAGCACATTTTTTGAATTTTTTTTTTAAATATACGTATTTCAACGAGTTAAGAACGATTGTGCAAAAATTTGAGGAAACCATTATTTTGGAAGTTATAGCCATCCAAAGTTTACGATTTTACTTTCATGCGCATGCGCCCAACGCTACTCGACTGCCACCCGCTGCGCTATAACAAATTTGTTGAGCGCATGCGTACTAAACCTAAAATCGCAAACTTTCAATGGCTATATAACTTCCAAAATAATGGTTTCCGAAAATGTTTGCATCATCGTCTTAACTCGTTGAAATACCGCATATTTCGAAAAAAAAATTCAAAAAATTTTCAAAATTTTCAAAAACTGGGTAGCTAAAGTGAATTTATGTCGATAAACCTTATACATTTTTTTTGGAATTTGAGTTTAAGTTTAAGAACAATTTATGTAACATAAAATAAATAATAATAGTTTAATAATATTATATTATAATGAACTACTTAAAATTATACAATAATACTATAGATAAATAAAATGTATTTTTGTTATTAATTATAGGTGAGTTGATTCCCGGGTCATTATATGTTACGGTATATACTGGTAATTTCAGATACCAATTTTTAAAAACAATGCGTTATACATTTTTACCAAATAACTAAATTATTTTAATAATAGTTTTTTACCTAATTACTAAATTTTTTCATAATAATTTTTTACCTACTAAATTTTTTTATTTATAATTTTTTAACGAAAAGTTTAATGATTTTCAAAATATGAAAAACCTAAAAAGAACAAAATTGTTGAGAAACTTGTCAGCCAACCTCCTCATGGTGTTTCTTGAGTTGGGCTAATAGGCTGAATATTTGGTTAAATATTGAAAATAATATATAATGACCAGGGAATCAACTCGTACGGCAATTGCCGAATTCCGTCCCGGGCTGCTGAAAATGTTCGAATTCCGTCCTGGGGGTGGAGAAACTATGCCCGGATTCCGTCTTGTGGGTGGAGCGACTAGGTCCTAATTCCGTCCCTGTCAAGTATTAACAGGACAGTTCAATAATAAGTATAAATCATATCAAAAAAATAATTATCGTACAACGGTCCATGATGAAAAGATAATGATCAATATGGGTATATGATAATATTCAATAATATACCTTTATGGCTTCATGGGCTTGTGGCTTTATCGCCTAATCAGCATTCTAATAATAGCTTAAGTATATATTCCGTGGAACCGTACGGCCGTAAAATATACAATATACCTAAATCGACTTTCGATGTAATCAAGAAGGAGTGTGGTTAATCGTATTAAATCGTTTTAATATGAAGGGTTTGTTGTTCTTCAGTAATTCACGATATAAGGCTGTTTTGCCGGATTCTACATTTTTAAACATGCCAGCAAAGCGGGACAGAATTCGGACATAGTTTCTCCACCCCTGGGGACGGAATTCGGATTGCAGTTTTGGAACCATATAGAGAGTCCGGGACGGAATTCGGTACCAGCCACTCGTACGACGTTCAAACCTCTTGATGACCCGGAAATCAACTCGTACTTACCTCTTAATGACCAGGGAATCAACTAGTACGCAGCCAATTTACCTAACCTACTTTTTGTATTTTCTTATCTGTTAGGAAATTGAATATAATTATATAATTAAACAATGTACCTATATGTCACTTATGTTGTAAGCTTGTTGTAAGTAAGTGCTTAACTAAACTATAGTACCTAGGTACTTAAAAAATTACTTGTGCTAAGATTCTTAGTAATGATATACATTTTTTTTTATAACTTGATATATATTTATACTATATTATTTATTATTTATATATCATTTTTTTTTAATTTATAGAAAATAGTAAAACTTATTACCTACCTACCTAAATTACATTTTAATTGTACACACATCACAAGCTTACAAATTAAACTATATTTATTATTAAAAACTTGTTTTTATAATTTTCTTTTCTTTTAAAATACCTATGTATTAAATGCTGTTTATTTATAAATAGGAAAATGTATAATCTGAATTCATACATTCGATTAGAAAAAAAATAATAATTTTTTAATAGGTCTACCTAATAAATCACTCGATAAATTCACTGCTCAAAAAACTTCCATCAGTATTTCGATTTTATGTTCACTTGAATTTATTGTAAATTTATAATCGTTAACTCATGTTGAACTTGTGCATGCTGAATTTTAAATGTATACAAAAGCTGTTATAACTATTATATGTTGATCGAAAGTCGTACTTACTAGATGGTATACCGAGTTTTCCGTACTTTACCAGCCCACTTACAAACTGGCGGCCCTTGGATACGTTCTTATTCCGTGCATAGTTTTTTATTTTATAGTCTCCATTTCTTCAACTTTTAACTCTTTACATATTTTCAGTCAGCTTGGCCTGAGTATAATATTTTATTATAATTGTATTTGTGTTGTAAAAAAATGTTTGCCCCCCCTCCCAGATCTTTGCTCTGGATCCGTGCCTGCCTATGATTGATGGTAACCTAGTGGATAGCACCTACTGTATTATAGTCGGAACATTTTGAAATTTAGATTGACTTTTTTTTTGGATGTGTTATGAATATGATGTATGATGTATTTCATCTGTACATCTGTTTGATTTAATGAAAATTTTTGACCGTAATTTACGTTTGGTTTTGAATAAAATTAAGATTATATATTTACTCTAGGTTCATTTGGCGGTTCATTGTCGTCCTTGAAAGCTCATCAATTAGGCTGCATAGTGATTTCAGAAGTACTTAAAAGAGCTAATGTCAATTCAAATGAAGTGTCTGAAGTTATTCTTGGACAGGTAAACAAAAATATATACAATATTTCACATTTTCAGTACTTATCAATTCACGTGCTTGTAAAAAAATTTATAACATTATATGAAAATGTTGTAGACCCTTACAGCTGGACAAGGTCAAAATCCGGCCAGACAAGCTTCAATAAATGCTGGAATTCCAATCACTGTACCTGCTCATGGCATCAACATGCTCTGTGGATCTGGGCTGAAGTGAGTTGAAAATTAAAATTATTCGTGAACATTATTTATTATATATTAGGTACCTACATAGAAAACTAACTAGTAAGTTTTGTAGGATAAAAATTATTTAAATTTTATGAAAAAAAAATGTGATTGTCTCCTAGGGCTGTGGTTCATGGATACCAGTCAATCAAATGCGGAGATTCTTCAATTGTCGTTGCAGGTGGCCAAGAGAGCATGAGTAACTCTCCTCACGTTGTTCATTTACGATCTAGTATCAAAATGGGTAACAGAGAATTGACGGATACGATGATATGCGATGGTTTGACTGACGCATTTGACAACATACACATGGGCATTACTGGTAAGAAATCAAAAAATTATGTAAAAGATAGGTTTGTATTTAAATTAGTTGAGTTATTCTAATATCTACTTATTTAACTGTGGGTTTTAGCAGTGGCGGCTCGTGGGTAAACGGAAAACTGGTACAGTCTTTATAAACGCGGAATAAAGACGTACGGTCCACAATAGTCAAGGTTTCCCAAACTTTTATGAAAAAAAATAATAAAATATAAACGTTTTTTTTTAACTTTATTTTACCGACGATCGGTGGGAAACCACAAGTGACTGTGAGTGAAAATAATACGATAACGATAAGATACATTAAATATCTAATCAATCTATTAATCAATAAATGCCATGTACCTGCTATAATATACAGTAAGTTTTCACCGGTTCTCATTCGCAATAGAGGATTGAGTGTGTTCTATTTTTCACTTAAAAATTATACCTGATGATGGCTGATACGTTTGATAGTATAAAGGAAAAATCTGTAGGAACACGAGAAACCCCAAGTCAAATATTTTCGACTATAATGTACAACATTCCAAGTTAGACAATAGTTACTTTACTATTTAAAAATTTTTTTAATATCGTTGTAATTATATGATTGTATGTGTACAGAGGATACAACTGTTTTATAAATATTAAATATCAATAAAAATTTAATTATATTATTTGTTGGGTAAAAAAGCGTGAACATTTAATGCAAGGCTCCTGATTTATTGTTACAATAGCAGTTGAAAAACAATGAAAATACATAGGCACAATTTTTTTTATAAGCATTTAAAGTTCGAATTTGGACAATATGTATCAAATTTAAAATTTAATAATTATTTTAGTTAAAAATGTATAAAATGTTCAGCTTTTAAAACTAAGGATTAAAAATTTAAAACAAGATTCTACGTGAATAGGTTATATATAAATTACTTAATTCACAATAATATCATCAAATATATACTTAGTAAAATCATAGGCTGACTGGCCGTTTTCGCTCAGAATCGTTTTTCTTATACAATGATATTATATTATTGAATTCAAATTTAACACCATCCATTACAGTGACCCACTTGTAACCGACTGTACAGCAGAGCGACATCCACTTGTCCACCTTTTTTTATTTTAAGTGTTATTTAAATTTAACTTGTTGACGATGGTGATTTATCAAAATTATATTATAAAAATTGTAAATATTTTAGGACCCCTGAAAATTAAATTTTGAATAGCACCAGTTTTCCGAGTTTTTTATTTCTTTAGTTATAAATTGTAAGGACCTTACCAATATTCCGAGTATCGGCTCTTGAGACAGATAAACAATAAATTTAAACTCTTTAAAAACTTTTATTAGAGTCTTAGTACAAGTACAACATTTAAAATTGAATAATAATAATATGTTCATTGTTGTTTGTTCGATAAGAACCATAGACATATAAAAGATGTCTATGATAAGAACCAATAATATCTTTAGTTTGTGAAACAAGTATTATAGGTAGGTATACACTTACACTACACGACATGATGACAACTCTCCGTTCCTTTTTCTATTAGTGAAAATCACGTCGCTTCGACAAATGACTAATGGATAATGTTGACAAAATCTGAGGACCGAATCGTTCAGCCTCATTTAATAATAATATTTCGACTTCCCCCACTATCATGATATTATATATTTTTATAATCGTACCACCGTCCTTCTCGTGACTCGTCTGAGGCTAAATATTACTAGCCTCTCGGCACTCTTCGGCTTTTTTCGGGATCGTTTCACGAACATCGTCTTTATTTTTGATAACAGTGTTGAAGTATGTATACATATTATTATGTAATATGACAGTTAATACTTAATATTATACATGACAAAACAAATTCATTTTGTCAGGATAATAATATTATATAATAGCAAAAAGCTTTTCTATTATAAAATGTATAATATATTATTGAATATAATATTCTTAAAGTCGATTGTAAATAACTATAATTATAATATAAACCTCATTACCTCATTTTTCTTTACAACAGTTAGGTGAGGCTGTGCCTCACTTGCCTCACCTGACCAGCCACCACTGGGTTTTAGGTAAAAATAGAACAGTTTTCTAATTTTAAATTAAGGTATATTGATTACTACTTTTTATATTTTTGTACTTCCCTCTTAACCTAAAATGTCCAATAAACAATGAAAATGTAGGTAAAAACAAAACGGTAATTTAGCTTGTATAGATAGGTAAATAGCAAGTAAGTCTGAAATATTGTGGCTTTATAGTAATGGCATTTCAAATTATAATGGCAGTATATGTGTACATCTGGTTTATACTACAACAATATTTAAAATTTTAATATTGAAAAAACTGCCATTATACATTAAGTTTTTCATTCTTCATTTTAATAACTTACTACTTTGGAAATATGGAGCAGGTTTTTTTATTTCGTCCATTATCCATGATGCATGAACACTTTAAATCTTGTTTTAGTGCCCTTTTTAAAATAGAAAATAAATTATTTTAATATTTATAAGAATTTTATATAAAACTATTAATTAATTAAATATTTTCTTTTCAGCTGAAAATGTTGCTGAACAGTATAATATTTCAAGGGAACTTCAAGACAATTATGCTTTTGAGTCTCAGAAACGGACAGCAGAAGCTCAAAAACATGGTTACTTCAAAGATGAAATAACACCAGTTGAGGTGAAAATAGAACGGAATACCATCGTATTTGATACAGATGAATATCCAAAAAATGACACTACTTTAAATTCATTATCTGCATTGAGACCAGTTTTTAAACCTGTAAGTTTAAAAATCATTAGACATATACTTTATTTACTACTTAATACTTATACTATTTAGAATGGTGGTGTAGTCACGGTCGGAAATGCATCAGGAATAAATGATGGTGCTGCAGCAGTACTTTTAATGAATGGAGAAGAATGTAAAAAACGAGGTTGTACTCCAATGGCTAAAATCGTAGCTCATGCTGAGTGCGGGGTTGATCCAAAAATAATGGGTACTGGACCAATACCTGCTGTGCTTAAGACGGTAGGTGTTACCGATTTCTAATTAGTGCCAAAAGTAATTTTGATACAATATATAATGTACAGCTGTAACCTATTAAGTCTACAAATAGCTATGTACCTATGCATGTTTAATATACTTAACAGTGAGTAATTAACTAAAAATGTTACTTCATTCTTAGATTGAAAAAGCTGGTTGGACAATGGATAGCGTGGATATTTTTGAATTAAATGAAGCATTTGCTGCAATATCAATTGCTGTAGAGAGTGATTTAGGATTAAATTCAGATAAAGTAAACATTCATGGAGGTGCTATTGCATTGGGTCATCCTATAGGAGCATCTGGTATGATCATTGTTTTTATTATGTGATGGACGCTTAAAATTAAATTTAACTGAACTGTAATATTATAATTTATAACACAGACAAAGAGTTTGGTAAAATGTCAATGACTACACTTGGTCGAAATAGGTTTTAAATTGTACATAAAATAATTAACTGATGTCAAATAATTATGAACCATAATATTGGATCGGCCATTCAGTATGTTTAATAAGATAGAGCCTTAATTTATAGTACCTATAAATTATAATCATATAATTTGTTTTTTTTTTTATTATTTATCTATTTGGCAACTTAGGCCATTAGCTATTTGTAGGGGGCGGTACTGTCGGATTGGAACATGTGTGTGTACTTGTGGCAAGAATTTATCTCTAAAACTCGGGTGGTTACTGCAGGTTACTCATCTGGGAACTAGTGACATCGGCCGGTGCTTGTACTCAGAACATGTTTCGTGACTGAATGCAACCACCGCCGCCAACAATCATATAATTTATATTGAATTAATTATCGCCTAAGTATCAACTACCAATATTTAGACCTTTTGAATAATAAATAAATAACAGATTATTTGTTTAACTAAATTAATATTGTATAAAAACAAATATTTCAAGTATAATAATTTAATTTAATTTTACAATTAAGTACAATTTATTAATTAATCAATTTAAGATAATATTATGAATCATAATGTAATACATTCCAATGAAAATGAGCTTTTAAACAATTAAATTCATGTAACTAAATTACGTGTTCCGTTTAATTTAGGTGCTCGAGTATTGGTTACGTTGGTGCACATATTGTTAAGGACCGGCAAAAAACGAGGAATAGCATCCTTATGTGTTGGCGGAGGTATGGGTATTGCTGTTGCTGTCGAGACATTATAATCAATGATCACTTAACTGTTCTCTGTACATCAGACTGTAGGTACCACTTAGATCCAAGTCCAAAAATGTCATTAATACTTGATAATATTTGTTGCCGGTTACATTACTGAGGGAATATAATATATTGTGAATCATACTCAATCATCTAACAAAGGAAAATTAGTTTTGCTAAAATCGGGGTTGATATTTTTTTTTTAATCTTGTATTCTATTTAAAATGTTTTTTGTTAATGGGTTATGGGTTATGACCAAGTTTTCAGTGTTTATTATTGTGAATAATTTAAATTTAGATTATTTTTAATTCACATTGAAATATTAGTTTATTGAAATTGCTTTTTAAGAATATTATCATTTATCCTGTATTCAGAGTATTCTATTTTTTAAGTACACCAGTCCAATTAAAATTTTTTGAGTTGATAAACTTAAGCAAATTGTATACCAATTAATTTTAATATGTATACATTTTTATAGGAAACAATTTAATCCTTAATATTAAAGTTTGCATACATCATATAATGTATTAGTGTACTTTTTTATATCAATACCAGTCACCAGTGTAAAATTATACTTAGATAATTATCTGAATAATAACTTATAGGTGTACCAATTGACTGAACAATAGACTGATACTTTTTTTGACGATGAAGTAAGTCATTTAATTGTTTCCACATAAATAATTATTAAATATGTATAGTTAGAAATTCGGCACTCAGAAAATATGTAGTAATTATTCTGGTTATAGGTTTGGTTCAGTAAAAGCATTCACAAATTAATACAAAAACCATTTAAAATTGTAAGAAAAATGAATTAATGTCTTTACATTATTACTAGTTATAACATTTTGTATAAGCTATTCGGTATAAATGAGAAAAATCCATTACCATTGAGAGTGATTTTATTTTTGGTAAATGGTGTAAATTAAAAATGTATAGGCTTTTTTGCCAAATTCTTTATGGATGGAATACAAAGTTTTCAGTGATTCGCAATGAATGAAGTAAAAATGGATGTGTCTTTTTTGTCGCAGTCGACCAGATATGAACTCCATTTGTTTGTTCTTGACATGTTATTATCGGGATTAATATCATTATCGTTTGAATCTAATTTAATTTCCTCAACAACAGCTATAGTATCTATACCAGAGAATTTGGCAGGAGCTACGACATCTCGCAGTATATTATCCAGGGGCGTCATTTGAGGGAGGTCAGGGTGTGCGGTAGCACCCCTTAATTTTAAAATGGTTCCAATTGGCCTGCGCCCCGCTGAAGCCTAAAATAATGCACGAGCCACGAATGCACAATTATTAATATGATTAAAATTAAATTGTATTTTAATTTTTATATTGACAACTTAATGAAAGATTATCAGAACCAACCAATAACTTGTTTAAGTTATTTGAAATTTTTTACCTTTCTAGTCCCAATTTTTTTAATCCAGACAGCCTTTATTTAAAACTATTTATAAACCATTATAGTTATTTTAACTTTAATGAAATTCAAATTTCTTCTGAGTTTCCACCAGTAAAAGCACTATTTAATGAGAAACATGATGTTGATTTGGACACCATAGCAATATGCCTAAAAGATTGTCCTATCGCTTTTGTTGAAACTTTAAAAATTATTTCATTGGTAAAAACTTTACCAATTACAATTTACAAAGGCATCAAATAAAATTTTTTTTTCATTATTTAAAAGAGTTAAGTCATATTTACGCATTACCATGGGTGATGAAAGGCTAAGTGATTGGATAGTACTTAATGTAGAAAGAAAAGAAGTTAACAATATAAATTTAGAAGCTGTAGATAAATTCACTAAACTAAAAAATCGACGATATCCGCTTCTTTAAATTTAAAATATTTTTTTTCTAGCTCTTTGCTTTTTCCAAAATTATAATAATTATGAAAATAAACGACAATTTATTAATGTAGATATTAAGTCCTTTTTTTATTTGCTGCTGCATTAATTCTTCTAGCTTTTTATGAATCAATTATTATTGGTTTTCACTTTTCACTGTTAAGGTAATTCATTATTTATTATATTTTAGTTTCTTAATAAATTGATATTTACTATTTATTTTGACGCAATGATTCCGAATTGATTCGGTCCTTACTCATAATGTATAATGATAATGGAAATAATTGAAAACCGGATAATGTACATATATACGTATGTATATCTATTTTTATATGGCCTAGTGAAATTTCAAAATGGCCTGCTTGAAACCTCGCACACCCGAAAAAAAACCTGAAATGACGCCCCTGATATTATCGCCAACATACAAGCACTTCGGGTTAGACTTCCCCGTTTCTCTTTTTAATAAATCATGTAACTGATCCCAATAACCTTGACTAAAATTATTGTTAAACTGTATGTTGTCCACAATATCACATTCGTTTAACATTTGAGAGCCGGTGTTATAAAATGGTCTATTCGTAGTGAAAATTCTTGGTTTTCTTGAATAAAAAGCAGCTATGTCAAATATTTCTTTCCAATTTTCACCTAATGACTGTGTAGCAGTAAAATTGGCGTAGTCAACACGTGATCCCGAAATCATCGATGGCTATGGACCGATATCGCGTACAAACCGCACATCCGTGACTTTAAAAACAATCGAACTATGCGAATAGAGGAGTGACGGGGATGAAAAAATGTCGAAAATGCAAAATACGTCGAAAAAAAGCGTAATATTTTTCGAAAAATTTGAAAACCAACCGACCGCCGCCGCAGTGAAAGTAAGCGATTGGACACGCTAAGGAATCGACGACGGTAAAGGGTAAGAAGACTGTATAAACGGAGAGGTGTTTAATTTTTTACCAGTTTTAAATACCAGCTAGTGCCTTGAGCTTAGTGCTTAGTCGTTACCATGGCTTTAGATAGAATAAAGCCGTGAACAATAGTTAGTAAGTAACTGATAATAGCGATAAGATATACAACACGATATATACCTAATCACACGGACGCGGTGTATCGGTTTTGGACTTAAGGTACTATAGTATTATAATAATTATTAGTACCTACCCATATTGCAAAGTATTCCAGAGTGCAGTTTTAAAAATACAGACAGATTAAAATATTAAATGAAATATGTATCACCCATATGGCCATATGGCCATACCTAAGTTGTGAATTGTATACGTACACGTATAATATCTAATTTCCGTCATTTTTAAGAGTTGGGTTGTAAAAGAGTAAAATATTATTACATGTACCTACGAGTACACCTTGCGTAAGCGTAATTTATATTATTATACTAGCTGATCCCGTGCACTTCGTCGCCCTTTAAATGTATCAACTCAATATGACTTAAAATTTGTTCAATTCGTTATTCAATATTCGGTGTATGGTGTTCAAAATTTATCTGATCTTTTCCGTTGCCCGGAATAAAAATTCTGAATCGCAGCAGTACATTATCAGGTGGGCAATCTACCTGCGGTAGATCGCGGACCCCGTGCTGTTTGTACGGAAGTGTATGATTTAACTCTAAAGTATCAAAGTTATACCAAGTTTATTTTGATATAATACGGTGGATTAATATAACAAATTTGGTTGCTCGTAAAAAATCGCAACTCTTAAAAAAATTATGATTGTTGAACTCCTTTTGGGTGTAACTTGCTGCGGTAAGTGCAACTCAGCCACCCTGGTAGGCAATGTTCAATAATTCGATTTGATGCAAGCTTGTACTTGATCTGCCCGAATAACCAATGGCAACCAATAAATAAATGCTAATTTCTACTGTAGACTGTAACCAATGGCAACTATTAATAAATAAAAATAAAATTTCCAATTTCCATAGTGAATCTCAATGTCCCTGTTTGAGCACCTATTTAAAATGCGAATTTTGGCAAATCCTTTCTTATTGAACGGTGAAAATATGAGAAGAACCTCTATTCCAAATTTCAAGTCCGTACGTTGAGTAGTTTTTGAGATACAGCGATCAGTGAGTCAGTGGTATTTGGATTTTATATGTATAGATAATTAATGATTGACTAACATTAACGGACTTTATTTATGCCTAAAACCTGCTCCGTGATATCCTCTTTCATTTAAAAAAACTGCATGACAATTGGATAAGACGTTTCGAAGCCAAACCGTAACAAAGATATCCTCTTTTGCTTGATTTCAGTTTTATATATATAGATATCATACATTTTGTACTTTAGAGTTGAGAGAAATACAGGACATAGTCACATAACCATAGAACATCATATAATAATACGAGAGGTGACTGCAGCGGGCATGTATATTATATACGCGTACCTATTTGCGAATTACAGAAACTCTATTAGCTCACGGTAAAATAAAAAATTACTTCCGCTGTAGGTCGTATCACTCGTATCTATATGTTATATACCTACACGTAAATATATGTGTATGCATATATAATAACATATGCCTACTATATAAGTACATACGTCTGCGATTCGTCTGAATAATGTCGACGAATATAATCCGTTTAAAACTCGCGCATTAGTCAAACACTATTCGGCCTTCTTGCAAGGCATAATATAATAATTTTCAAAGGGTGATTCACCAAGCATTAGAAGTGCCGAGTGGGGTACAAAGTCTATTATAATATAAGCATAGTTGCTTATGTTAGTTATTTTGTTTATTCTTTATAGGCTCGGCGTTGGTGAACCACTTCCTAATTTAGATTGGTTCTTATAAACGTGAGCGTTGTCGACAGCTTGTACCCAAGTCTATCTTTGGTATGACATAAAACCTTTTTCAAGCGCTATTTGGTCTTCCACAATATAGTCATTTAGGCCCCTTATTATTTAATATTTTTATAAATACCATGTATTCTGATGTTTGCCCATGCAGCGTTCTCCTTTTTGCCGATGACTTATTCTAAGATTCTTCACATGATACCCACACGGAATGACGATCGTCGAATTCTCCAAAAGACTCTTGATACATTCAGTACATAGAAATATCTCTTAAATCTTAATATTACTAAATGTAAAGTAAAGCCTTTTCATCTTACACGTAAAGCGATTAATTTCGCTCATAATATAATTGGTTTGTACCATCAACGTGTAAACCAAGTCCAGGACTTAGGTATCTTATTTGATCCTTCACTTAATTTTCGTCCCTATATATGGATTTTATTTGTACTTTGTAGTAAAGCTTTATGGATACTTGTTCTGGGTATCTTTATTTATTAGACGAAAATCGACAAACTTCGATTCACCTGGTTGTCTACTTGCACTCCATGTAATAATGCCTTGTTTTGTTCGGTTCTTGACTAATATGATGCTGTTGTTTGGTCTACATATTATACTGACATCGATAGATATACAGTATACGGACGACGGTCAGTAGGATCCAAAACCGTTTTTATTAGTTATACAGGCCACCGCCTAAAAATTCCTCACTCAGGTTATTACTATATTGGCCAGTTAATCGGATAAATAAACTTAATTTTCTATAGATTAAGATAAAAATTGGAAATAGGTTCATTCAATGATTGATCGAAAGTGAAATTGGTACTCTGAGAATACTTGAATGACTTAGTATCTGAGTTCCTACCATTACCCGGTTTCAGGAATCAGTGTCTAGGAATCAGGACATGTTTCTATGAATATTGAATTATCCACTTTCAAAAATGATGCATAACTACAATATGCTATAATATATTAATACTTTTGTCATACAAGGTCACATATTTCGTATTATTTTTTTACTTTTGATCACTTGTATAGTTGTACCTATTATGTCTTTTTTTCTTTAAACTTTAGTAGGTATGTATATGCATGCAATCATACAATACCTATTAGTTATTACCAAAATCTTATTTTTTTACTTAATATTTTGCTTCTATTGTTGTAAAATGACAACTAGCGTAGTAGCGTTAACTTTATTGAATTAAAAAAAAAGTAAATTTATTCAGGATGCGAACCTAACTAAGCAAACTCACCTCTAGTTTTTTGAATGAGAATCACAATAGTCACGACGTTTCAAAAATGTAAGTGATTTAAGACTACAATTTGGTTTGAAATAAATTGGATAACGACATCGCTATCTATCGGCCGCGAAATCGCAACGAGTGCTGCTGCTGGACGCAACTGCTTGCTTTGCCATATATAAGATTTTTGTATCTTATATATTTATAGATTTTCGAATTTTAAATTATATGTAGTTCAGTAGTTTTTATTAAAAATCATAAGTGAATTTAAAAATATTAGTCAACTTTACTATAGTTATATGTTTAAAACTTTAAAGGTGAAAATTAAAATTACTTATAATTGTTTAGAAAACTAGTGTTAGGTGCATGAGTTTTGGAAACAGTGGAAGTTCCTGAGTCCCATAACATCAATATCTATCATCAATAATTTAAAATCTATTTTTCAATTTTGGAACATTGGAAAATAAAGTTTGTGTTGTTGTATGTGACATGTAATTCTGAGTTCTAAAATATGGTAAAAGAAATAATAAATAAGCTGAGAAAAATAGTGTGACAATTTAGTAAAAGTGCCACTGCTACTGCTTGAAAAAAACTTGAAAATGAACAAGAATTGTGTGACGAAAAAAACATGAAATAGTTCAATATATTATCATTTTGATTCAATAATAATTTATAAAAGAAAATTAATATATATAATCTTTAAGAATAAACAATGTTATTCCCTACCAATAATTATGTTAATTGTTGTTTTGTATAACAATTATTTAATAAGTAAAAAGTCACATTAAAATATTATTTTGGCCAAAAAGTAAAGTAAACGTGGGTAAAAATGTGCTGTCTATAAATTATAATACACATTTCACATTGCTAATGTAAATAGAAATAACACTGTGTTTTTGACAGAAGGTTTTATACTCAAGAAAGTTAAACACAATAGTCAAGTAGTCATCCATAGATTAAGCACTGTGATGATAATTAGAATAAAGAGGATGTCAGCGTCAACCACACTACCTATAGGTACTTATACCTATTTGTTTTCTCTCTCTGGTCTACTTGGAACATAGTAAATTTGCGTTTATCGAATCTAATTTTGTTTTCACAGATTTGATATTAGAGTGAATTGAAATTGAAATTGTAAACGTAAGAATAGTAATTATCATCTAGATCACCTTTATTTCAGGCTTTTGTGGTAAATAACACTTTTGGAAAAGGCAAGACACTGAAGTACCTACTTACTTTCTCTTCTAGTACTCGTTATTGTAGTCAATCGAGAAAGGGGTCGAATGGCCAAATTTCACTTATTTTAGTCGAACTGCACTTAGGTTTAAAAATGGTAATGGTCGAAATGCACTCGGGTAAAAAGCAGGTATTCCGACAAAAATATCATGCATTTGAATGGGTTAAACGTTTATAATACACTAATTTACCTTCCCACTTACAGGCTTAGGACTGACAATGATTTTAATTATTGGCGTAGTTAAAAATTATTATTTTAAACATACCATTGTCCATTATGTTAATATAATATTATATATTATACATATTATATTAAATCATCAAATATTATTGTTGTCATTATTATAGCATTTTTTTTTTAATAACTAATTTTGATAATTTTTGTAGTAATAATATATATATATAAATGTTATTCTTTTTTTAAATCGTCAAATATTATTATCATAATAAAAGTGAACGTCCATAGTGACCTAAAATGTTAACTCATTTTTTTGAACGAGTGTAGTTCGACCACTACCTGTTTTTTACCCGTGTGCAGTTCGACCATTTCTTTTTAGGTAATAAGTGCAATTCGACTATCCCAAGAGAAGGAATATCCTTTTGTGCAGTACTCGTTATCGCGGTCACCAAAAGGAGAACTATTTATTTAAATAAGCTTGTACAGCAGGTGTCGATATGTCCTCGTTTGACGGTTTTTGAAGGAAACCGAAATATATCTGTTATATACATTATAAGCCAAACTTTAGAGTGGAGTATACGACAATACATAATAAAATAAATTTTAGCCATTATTATGACTTGAAAAAAATAGAATAATTTAAATATTGACATAAATCTTGCTCTATTATTTTTGGACCACAGAATGACCACCAATTCGTCAATTGTTCTCTATAATATGTGGACTAGGCCTAAAGTGGCTTACCACTCGGGGAAACCACGCAATAAAAAAAAAGCTCAATTATGAAATACCTCAAGTAACATTAAATATGACAAAAATATTGGGTGCTGCCATTAATTATAATTGTTAAAATGGTACTATACCTACTTGAATGTAATGTAATGTATGCTAAGGTGGTGAGAAAAGTTGCAATTCTTAAAATATTACCATTATATATTATTAGGTATTGTATCAAATATATCAAATAAAATGTTCATGATTTTCACTGGATTATACCTAGGTACTACTGCGGAATATCGTTGTAATAAACTGAACCTATAGGTATTTGTCTTATTATGATTTATGTAATATGGATATAAATATATAATTGATATAAACATATAATAATTATATCACCATATCGGATATCTTTGTGACTAGCTACGTGAGTTTGTAGCTTGTAAAAGTATATCCTGCCTATAGATCTGTGAATCGGCTTTTACCCGATAGTCCCGATAAGATATATTAAACCACGCCTTTAAAACAATATAAATATAAAAAAAACAGTATATTATATTATATGACTTACTTACTATAATAGAAATACGACTGGAATGTTAGTATAATAATACTAGTAAATCGTAATAAAAACTATTTTGGATCAATATAGTTGGTACTTGAAAAATATTTCGATTATATTACGTCGTTAATGAAAACATTACATCTGGCTACATCCTACATTTAATCGAAAATAATAATATAGCGAGCTATCAAAACTTAAAAACTTTTAGCTGAATCTCTGTTAAAAATTCAAAATCATTGCGTTGTATAATTATATCGGTGTTGGTGAGTTGCGGCCCGGGCTTATGAGAGGTACGTACGAATTGCGGCCATACAATAATCTATAGGTATACTACACAGTACGCATATAATATATACTATACATAATACAAATATAATATATACTATATACATAATAGTATAATACATGTATTTAAACATCACAATATAAATTTATTAATATTACGTATTTTCTAGTATTGTCGTATATTATTAATATTTGTCATTTCAAGAATATAAATAAAAAAAATATTCGTAAATTAATAATAACGTATAGTAATTTCATTTTTTAACTATTGTTTTGGTTAAAATACAAGTAATAGATATAATAATATTTTGCGTTTCTAGAATATAATATATAATGATAATAATATTCTATTGTTTTGGCAAAAACTTAAAACTTAACGATTTAACTAATTCAAAATTATCTATTTCTTTTAGCTGGAGTTTTGTCATCTGTTCTCTAATGAAAGCTTCTTTTTCACCCATTTTCTTTGTTGTTACACTTTTACTTCTGAATTTTATGTATGTTTCAGATTGAACTTCTAGTAACACATCAACGAAGTTATAAATGTTAGGATGGCTAGTGAAGAACGACATGTTTAGTTTTGAATGAAAACTTTAACAGCTGTTAGTAGTACGGTTGCAGCTGGCAGTAAATCGTGCCCAAATATTTGGGGGGGAAATAGCGTCTGGAGAAATATAGTTTTCAAAAATGTAGTCTGTACATTTCACAATTTGGTCATTTTCAGCAGGCTGTATTGCTAAAAAGTCGTCAGTAAAGCAGTCAATGAAAAAAATATTTTAAATAATACTATCATCTATGTTACCATTGTATAGTTTAGTAAGTCCTAAACTTTGGATTTTCCTCCACCAACTTTGCCATAAATGAAATCGACATCCTCTTATTTGTGCATTAGGGAAGACTTCCGCTACAGCACTATGTATTGCTGATTCAAAATCTATATAAATGTCAGTAGGAGAGCACGATATACTAACTGGCAACTACGGATATGGAGTGACGAATTACATGTTAAAATGCACACGTGACACGTGTACTTAGTATTTAACTTGTTGGGTAGTAAAAAAAACACAAGTGGTACACTGGTACGCATACACATCATTTTTAAGGCCATGTATGGTAAGAAGTTGTGTAAAGTTCTTTTGGCAGCTCTTGAACGTCCCATCTACGTATATTTTCTTTACGTCACATAGCACTTTTATATTTTGTTGGGTAGAAAACCCAACTATCGAATTTACTTTATCGTTTACAAACAAAAATTGTTCACCCATATTGGTCTTAATTTCCATGGACCCCAAAGCAAAATGTAATTCTTCAATGCAGCTCGGCAGAGGGGGATGCACAGATAGACGGACACGATGAATATTATGCCGAATTAATGATAAATCATTGTTAGTCAAAGTCGGTATAAACATGGTGGTTTCAATTCCGAGCGAATAAGTTTAGACGGTTTGCAAGAAATGTCAACTAAAGCGTTTCTTTTCAGAGAATTACTCATTATTTGCCTATTTAGGACTTTTTCGTCAGGTTTTTTATGTACGTGATTGGTATTACTCTCAACTATTATATTTGAAGGTGATAATTTAATAAAGCACTTACAATTTTTGAAACAGCAAGGCCACCGCTGTACATCATCTTGTAGTGTCTTATGAAAACGGAATTTGTAGCCATCGTAGATAATAAGTGGCTTCGATTTTTCACTGTATACAAATTCCATGAAAAAATATTCAAATACGTTTAATATATTATACAAACTATTATATAAACGATACACACTTATACGAATAAAGATTGATTTCGGACTAAATACGATTTTCATTTTGCCATTTGAAATTATTCGACTATCGTATAGGTAGTTAATACAAGTCATATGGCAGATAATACAATAAAACTTTCTATATTATCTTTATTATATTATATAAAGATATAACTTGCCATACGTATCAAACGATTGGTTTATCGTTATTCGTTTATCACTGTATGTATAGCCATCTGACAGGTCTCTAACACCGGAAACGACACACCGGGCATTAACTCATCCACATTCAATCAAAAGTAATAATATAGCGAGCGCGAGCTAACTTAAACAATTTAATCCGAATTTAATTTCTGTTAAAAATTCAAAATCATTGAGTTGTATAATTATATTGTAAATTTGTAACTATAATTAATCCGGGATAATTGATTGAGGCTTGACAATAAAGTCGATGGTCGATTATAATAACGATGATCGATGACAGTCAGACAGTACGTCAGTACCTACGCTAGTACCTGCGCTAGTACCTATACATAAATTAAAATAAATAGGTACCTACCTTATAAGTATAATAACTTGAGGCACATGTCAATATATTTAAATATTTTGAAGAAACAGTCCACAATATACTAAACAATTTAATCTAAAGTCGGTTCCGGTAGTTTGATTGTGGTGAGGCTTCGTAATTTTATTTCGTTATTAATTTTATATTTGTGTAAAACAAACTGAGTGAAACCCTAAAATTATATTACTGTTAGCACTAGGCAGAAGTGATATATGGCAACATTTTGGTTTTAAAACTAACGATAATATAGGTAATATTTAGGAAGGTATATTAATAAAAATTAAGTTTTTTGTGAAAGATGCAAATGTTCTGTAGATTCTTGGTTATAGTGGAAATATGTTTAATCTCAACCCGCTTCAACAATGTTCAAGTACAATGTACAAAACCAAGTAGATACATGAAACATTTTAATTCTCTATTTAAAAGTTTTAAACAAACTTCATTCAAATTATATTAAGTAAAACAAAACAAACATGCCAAGGAACAAACTAAAGGCTTGATTATTAGGGAAAAACTAAACACAATTAATTACCCACAATGTTTTCCTGTCCATGACACAATTAAAATGCTCCTTCAAATCGCCTAAAATAACGAAAACATGGCTAACAAATAACATGGTCATTGCAATGGCCATAACAGGCTATATTCTGTATGGATAGAAATTCACAATAAAAGACAATTAAGAGTAAAGGAAGAGTGGCTACAAGAATGACAACGTACAAATAAACAGACTGGACATCACCAACCCATCAAATATCCTCTGAGGGCTTAATCTCATAAGGAAAGATTTCAGGATAACGCACTTGGCCGCTGCATATGGACTAGCCACTCATGACGTAATTGCGACTATGTTAAAATGGGGATTGTCTTCTTCCTCAACAGCTTGCGACTGCAGTTTTCCCGTACAAACTATTAAGTATAGGCACATCTTGAACAACTTTCCAATTCAAAAAAAGTGGGCAAGTGGGTGTTACTCTGCTGTACAGTAAGTTACAAGTGGGTCACTGTAATGTTTTTATGTATGGTGTTAAATTTGAATTTAATGATATATATTATATAATATCATAGAGGTAGGTTTATTACTCTCAATAAACGTAGATAAGATACTAAAACATGACAAATATTAATTTGTCATGTACTAAACTCAAAATTATATATTATAATATATTAATATAATATATATTATTATTTTATCTACAGCTAAAATTGAATAATTGTTATTGACCGATAAAAGAGCAGACAGCAGTATGCTCAAAATATTTTTACCTATTATAATATTATATAATATATATTATAGAAAAATATTTTAATATTTTGCTTGCCCTCAAAATCTTTTTGCTTGCCACTTCGGGCATGCGTGTCATGGATTTGCCATCTCTGCTCTATCGCCAATGAACCGATATGGCGACGGCGGGGGCGACGACATCGCCACAAAATCGAAAATACCAAAGTAGCCGAACAAAAAAACAACGGGCGTTGCGACCTCGACAACCCGGACCAATATTCCGGATTTTTTGGTATAGATGATAGATCCCGGTATAGTTAATTTCGTAGGCACGTGTTCCATGTCCAAAAACGCCGTATTGGAAATAAATGTCGTAGTGAAAACTGCAAGGTTTAAACAAACAGTGTGCGCCGACTCAGACGAGCGAAACTCGTGGGATGCTACGAAAAATGTCTACTCGACGGTCGTATGTGTAACGAAAACGTGACCATTTCGTCGAATTGTGAATACGAATCGTCACGCTACACTGAGTACCGTTACTGAGTTACCGTTTGAAACATCACGCAAAATCACAAATTATGTATTCAAAACCAAAATTTTTGAAACTCCTGTGGTACCGAAAAATCCGAATACGGAAAACCGAAGATTCGTCGGTCGGATTGCTGTTAGATTTGAATGCGGACAACTGACAAGTAGCGGTGCGAAAAAATGTTGGTGTGTTTCTGTGACGGGTCACTACAGGACAATATAAGCTACAAAAAAATTTAAAACCTGCAATGTGCTTGTTGCGTCGAGTGTTTCATCGTATGCGAGATCGATGCGATGTGATAGATGTGGACGAGACACGAGTACATGACGACGCGGTGCTGTTCACGGTACGCAGAACCTATGCCTAAGCCTTTGCCTCCAAAACGCACACGAGACAAGGACGGACGCCGACAACATAATCGCCGATTTCAGTAATGCCGAAAATGCAGAATCCATTGGAACAGAGACGTCAACGCCGCCCGAAACATTCTATGGTCTTGGTCGCCAGAGGACTCGTTGATTTTAGAAAAAAATATAATTCCAAAAAAAAAAAAAATCCTATAACATATAAGTAATCGCCGAACGAGAAATTGTTCGTTCGGCCGACACGTTTATTTGTATTTCTTACATAAATAAACGAGTCTTAACTACTGACGGCATGGTGGGTCACATTGTAACCCAAGAGTTAAACCACAGAGTTAAACGAGATATTTCAACCAAATGCCGAAAGGTGCATAGGCAACCCAACGAACGCGCGAGCCAGTTATCTGATAAGACGCTTTCCGACGGGTGCAGCAGCGAGCTATCTCAATTCTACACGTTCATGTCGAAAAAGAGCGATCGTTCGCCGGCGTGTTCCACGACTCGTCGAATCGAATATAATTTCGGGTCGATTTGATTAGTTTAACCGCCGTCGTTTGCACCGATTCGCGTGGTTTTCCGTTTTGCTTATTGTTTAAAAAAAACTCGTTTTTCTACTGTTAAATACTCACCAGAGTATTAAAATATTGGTAGCTTATTCTCGCCGAACACCTAAATAGGTACCCAATTAACGACCATTATAATATAATTTATTATTATAAGAACAACGATGTTGGGAGAATCGGACGAGTTTTCGGAAATACTGAAAACCGGCTTCCCGATGTATCTGTTGATCGCCATCCCGTTGCTGTTGGTCATGAGTCCGGTGTGTCCGGCGAACGCTGCTCACGAGTTTACCGTGTACCGCGCCCAACAATACAGTCTACAAGGCGCCACATACGGTAAAGTACTAAAGTGTTGACTGCGAAAGTTGTCGGTCGGTTCGATGAATCTGATTCCATTTTTTTTTTTCTGACAACAGGTTCAAAGAGCAGTATAATCAACTTGGAGGCCAGATCATTGAAAACTTGGAGCAGTCGGTCGAGGCATTGTGTGTTTGTACTGATGGACAATTTCACAACGGAAGAGTACGAACAAATAGCATCCGGATCCGGCGCCTTAGTGCTGGTTGTACCGCCCGCGCCATACACTCTAGAGCAACAGACTGTGAGATATTGTCTTAAAATTATAACTCTTATTAGTTAATAGTTATTACTTATTAGGTATCTGGTCAATAAAGCAAAGACCATTTCTGAGCATCACAAGTTTTATGGCCAGCTTAATTGTGTGTTTTTATTTTTAGTCCAAGCCATTTAGGTGTATTTAAAATGAAGATTTACGCTTAAATTTGTATTCTTTATTTCAGACAATGCTGGAAATAGAGCAAGCCATTTTATTGTCCGATACTTCCATACCCGTATACATAATAAATTGGTCTACTGAAGTCAACAACTTAATGATGGATTTGGCTGATAGTAAAATTATAGATGAAAATGCAAGTTCTGCAGCCAAAGGTGCCAAATATTAAATATTAAAATTATAATATCTAAATACTAAACATTTATTTTCCAGCTTTCATTAATTCAGTTTCTGCAAACGGATATCAAATAGTAGTATCAGCAAATAAACCAGTTTTGCAACCGAATATTGCCATATCAACTATTCAGGTAAACTATTCAATATTTCAATGTAAATACATCTGGTTTTATATTAAGATTTTTGCTAAACTTAAATGTATTGATATTATCAGGGTCAATTGATTGGATACGGATTTCAAGATAAGTTACCCAGTATTTTGGTTGTTGCTCATTATGACAGTTTTGGTTTGGCTCCGGTAAGCAATCAATATTAAATATTGAATACATATTTTGAAATCATAAATGAATAGGTAAATATAAAATATCTCCGAGTATTTATGAATGATGATTTAACACAGGAATTATCATACGGTGCTGATAGTAATGGTTCAGGAGCTGCTATACTTTTACTTTTGGCCAAAATACTTAGTCGAGTTTATGCAGAAAAAAATAGACCCAAGTATAATGTCATGTTTATTTTGAGTGGTGGTGGTAAGCTCAACTACATAGGATCTAAAAACTGGATAGAACAACAAATGGAAAAATCCAATACACTACAAGTAATTAAAAAATTTATAAATAACATGTTAAAAAATTTTAAATTTAAAAAAAATATTGTTTGTGTTCTAGGATGTGTCATTTGTATTGTGTTTAGACTCGTTGGGCAGCGATAAGAATATTTATGCTCATGTTTCAAAACCACCAAAGGAAGACACAAAAATGGGACATTTTATGAATGTAATTCATTTTATTTGATGTCTATTTTATTATTATAATTAATATTGGTTATTTATTTCTTATTATTCTAGGAACTTAATAATAATTTAGGAGAAAATGGACTGAAAATAATTCATAAAAAGATAAATTTAGGCAGTGATACACTAGCTTGGGAACATGAAAGATATAGTATAAGAAGGTTGCCTGCTTTCACTCTTTCTAGTTTAAAAGTATTATACTTGTGTTTTAGTTAATAATTAAGATATTTACATCACAATTTATTTGTTAACAGAGTCACAAAAACAGTTCAAGGAGATCAATTTTGGATACAAGCGAATCGTTAGATTCAAAAATTGTATATCGCAATGCTCAGATTATAGCTAAAACTTTAGTTGCTCATCTGTATGATTATAATACATCTGAAACCCCCAAAGTTGTAAGTTTAATCTACTATTAATTTTGTAAAAATTTTCATCGTGGATCTTGATTGTAACATTTCATATTGTATCCTATTGTTATGTACCTAAATTAATTAATTAATTAAATATTATTTTCAGAATGTCGATTTTGAGTCATTACGTACTTCATTGGATTTATTAGTTTTACAGCCTAGATCCGCACAAATAATAGCTCAAAAAAACCATCCATTAGTTGATAATTTATTTTCATTGATGAATAAGTATTTAAAGGATGTTAATGTGTCTCAACTGACTGCAGAAAAGGTTGATCCGCAGTTTTCATTTTACACGGTTACCAGGGCTACTTTACAAGTTTACAGGTTAGTTAAATACTATAAAAAATAAGTCTCGTGATTATTCATGATCGATTTATACAAATTAATTATGTTGTATCTTGTACTACTACTGTTGAACTATTCTCTGTTCCGCAAAAGAACACGGCACAATTAAAATCCATTCTGCTGATCTCCACGTGACACCCGGCCATTGTCAAACTGGTCTTGACAGCAGGGTGTCTAGTGGGGATGCTCAAAATCTGAGTTGTTCTCTTGCCGGACAGAGTATACATAGTATGTACAGTTTAACAACCGATAAATGCATGCTATTTTTGCTATGAATGTGTATTTATATATATTTTTAGTGTTAAACCAGCAGTGTTTGATCTCATTCTTACTCTAGCAATAGCTGTTTACTTGACAATAGTCTACTTCTTTATTCAGGTAAAAGTTGCATAGAAATAAACCTGTTGTCACTTATCCTAATAAACTATTTGATTATTTTATTTATAGTTTGTACCAATTATATATGATTTATACATTGGTACATCAAAACCAGAACCTGTTACTAGTTTGCCGAAGAAAAATAACCGCAAAGAAAAGCAACGATAAATATATTTATTTATTTATTTCCTGTTTTATTATTTTGTTTATATATTGCTATATAAATATAAATTTTTTTTTTTGCCCAAAGCGAATTTTTGTAGTCAACTTAAATAAATATAATGTTTTTTTCTTTTTTAGTTATTTTAACACTAGTATAAAGTGTTACAATATTTTTTAAAAAACATCAGTTTGGTAATTTATTGAAATGTAGTGAAATTAATTAATCACTAGTGATCCCCCTCAGTTTACTTTGTACTATTCTAATTTTGACTGATTAGAGTATTGATTTTAAAATATAATTTTGTTTCTAAGTGTAATGAGTTGTAAACATTTTTTACGTAATCCATACGATGAACAATATTATAGCTTGTAATAATATATTTATAACAACACTGCCTGTGTTTGCTCATTTTTGAGACAAATCACTTAAAAGTTAAAATGTCAAAGTTGGAACACTTAAGTATGCAATAGTTAATGAAGTGTAACAACTAACAAATAATGGTTATTTTTTCATTGGTGTATGATAATTTTTTTTTCTTTATAGAATGAAAATGTATTGTATTAATTGGTTTTTTGTTAATGTATTTTCAAATCATTCATTAAAATTTAAAATAAAAAACTTTTTCAGACTTGTGGATGTGTTATCTTAAAAAATTTAGTTATTATTTATTATCATGTATCTTTATATTATAATGTTGTTTTTGATAAGTTTTTTTCCAAACAAATAAAATATTACAAACATTGCCATATATTTAAACAAGACAAAGGTATCAGATAGTGCAAAACAACATATTTTTACTGAAAAAAAAAAATGTCTTTGTGGGCCTCTTAGGTTTATATTTCCTGAACCAAAGAATATCACCACTTGGCCTCCTGCTTCCACCTTTTATTGATCAATTCCCTGCTATTTCCTCCATACACTGCAGCAGTAGAGGTGGCTGTAAAAATGTAGCCAGACAATTTACTGTCACTGCTACAGCAGTGTGTGGGTAGTGGGTACCCCTAAGGCATTTAGACCTTTAAAAAAATTAGATTTCCTCTCATGGTCTCAACTTTTATTAAACTGATCCTCTTTTCTATAAACATGTTGCCCCATCTGTATGTATCCTATTGCAGGGAATCGCACTATGAATTAGCTAAATCAAGTGACTATGGCCTTAAACATGGCAGCAGTGAACATTTCCGTAACTTGGGTAAACAAACATAAACTCAGATTGGTGCATGGACTCGTTTAAATGCTTTTACCAGACTTCAGATCACATGTAAACAAAATTTAATAATTTTTAACAAATACTTAAAAAACTAAATATGCTATACTTATTCGAGTCTCAAGTATTGTTTATTATGTAAAAGCCCTAATTTGTCATTTGAACTGTTAGGCTACAAAATTCACTTTTATTAATGTGTCAAATAGAAAGAACAAACTATTTCTGAGCCACTTAGCACAAATTAATGATAATAAACCATTGAAATACCATTTTACATGGAGTTTCAACTCCATTGAATTTGACTGAGACAAATTATTTGACTTTATACACTAAACATTTTCATCAGGCCTTTTCCTACAAATGTTATGAATTTTTCTTTAAGAAAATAGATTTTAATGTAGTTAATATTAATGTAAGGCAGGGGTCTCCAAATTTTTTTATTCAAGGGCCACAAAAAATATCAAATGCTCTTAGCGGGCCAAAAGTTTATTAACACATAATTTTTAATTTTATGAAAATATAGGTATACAAATATAAGTATACAAATATAAGTTGACTTTAAATCTTTTTATAAAATATTGTCTACAATATACTTAAATATAATTGGTATGAATTTAAATGATAATCTATACAATGTAATTTTAATAATTTTTTTTTTTTTTAATGAGAAGTATGAAATTGATGTTTTTCTGCTAATATTCGATCGAATTGAGGTTGTATGTTGCTAGTTCCAATTTTCAAAATTGACTCCAAGTGTTTGTCAGTCATGGCCGATCTATATTTTGATTTGATGTATTTCATTTTGGAAAAAGTTTGTTCTCACAAATAAGTCGTAGCATATACAGATATATATTCAATTTCAAATTTTTTTAAATTTGGATACTATGTATCTGGGAGAAAATTATAAAAATCAACTAAAGTCTCTTCACGATATTTGATTTTCAGTGCATCATTACTTTTTAAATCAATCATTTCCATTTGAAGGGTAGGAGGTAACTTCTCAATATCACAACTAAACAGGTTTTGAAAAATATTTATTTATTCCGATTTTACTTCAAGGTCAGAAAAACGTTGTTTAAATTGGATTTTAAGTTCAGAAATTATTTTTTGAGCAAAGTCGACTGGAAATTGTGTTTTTGATTCTTTGTTATATTTATCACAAGTAAAAAATGAATAAAGCAATTTTTTCAAATTTGCGTTTCAAATAATATAAGTTTTTGTCTAAATGCTTTTACTAATGTGTAAACATCTCTAATAAGAACATCTTTACCTTGTAATTTTAGGTTGAAGTCGTTCATATATTTTGTGATATCCACTAAAAAAGCTAATTTCCAAACCCATTCACTATCTGTAAGTAAAGGCAATGGTCGATTCTTATCAACTAGAAATATTTCAATTTCATTTCTTAGTTCAAAAAATTGCGATAGGACTTTTCCGCGTTTAAGCCATCAAACTGCTGTAAAATACGGTATATCTGGGTACCTACTCTGTTTCTATTTCTTTCAAAAAATCTTGAAACTGACAATGCCTAAGTGCTCTCGAGCGAATAAAATTTACCGCAATAACGACTTTTTAAATTACACATATCTTTAGATATCTATGTTTTATTTACCGTCCTATGGGTGCTGCGGGCCGTAGTTTGGAGACCCCTGGGCCCTGATGTAAGGTAACATTTGTCAATTGATTAATAATAATATGAATAAAGTAAAATATATTTCTTTACAAATCTTATAATTATTATAACTTGACTTTATAATTTGATAACTTAATTACACATTTTTTTTTTAAATACTATAAAAATATTCAATATTTTGTTCTTACATTTAACAATAGATTTAAAATTCAAAATAAAATATGATCATAACACACAATATACTACAATAGTGATTTAAATTAAATATACATTTAAACATAAAAAATATTTTAACTTTAATATTTTACATTTGATTCATGCAAAAATATAAAATTGAATGGCTTTAAAATATTTAATCAAAAAATGAAAATACAAAATTAAAAAAAAATCATTTATCTGATTGAAATAATAAGGTGTAAATAATTCAAACATCTATTATATTTAACACAAAAGCTTTTAATTGAAGTGGGGTGAATATAATTAATTAAAATTAAGTTTCATTCTTTGGTGATAAAAATAAATAATATTATTATTATTATTATTTTTTTTGTTTTAACTGAAGGCTAGTGGTAACCAATTAAGTAAAGAATTAAAGTTCTTTAACTTTGTACTTATAAATATATATTTTGACTACATCCATTAAGTACCATTAAACAACCGCCAGATCTCCGTGAACCCTGATACGATACAGACAAGTATACTCATCATGTCCATGGTTTGATTCTATTCTTAATTCTACAATAGGGTAAATATTATCCGTCCTCTACAACAGAAAAATGATATTGTTTACAAAACAGAAAAAGTTTAAAATGTATTGCTCACCTTAGCAGCAAAATATTGTAAGCTTGGTCCATCGACGGTAAACTGATATTTACCCAATAGATTACCATCCGAATCTGATTCATGTTTCAATCCCTATTGTCATAAAAAAAAAAAACATCATAATGTAAAATACATTAAAAACTATAAAAGTTTAAAATACTAACCCAGACACTGAAATCTTTTGGGGCAGATCTAATATGACCATCTTCTGATAGTGATTTTGGCAAATGTTCTATGGTAAAACCAGTTACATGTATAGTCTTGGATAGCTTTAACACCAAAAAACCTTTAGCACCAATGAATGCCCAACATTGACCAGGGTTGACACCAGGCTAAATTTGAATAACAATAAAAAGCTTTTCATAATTTTCAAGAATCAAATAATATTACTGAACAGTGGGATACAAGAAATTATTTTAATTTCATATTGTTAATAATTATATTATAAGTATTAGTTATAGTACATAAAACTGACAATTTTATAATATATTATATGTTTTTTCTAAATGTTTAAATTTTCTAAACTATACTTTTTAGTATTAAGAGGACGTGATGCTCGCATGTGTTGTCTCAGTCTAACACACATACAACATTTAAGTACAGCAGAATCCAATAATCCATTTTGTGTTATCAATTTAATATTACAGTTATCTGACTGATTATTTTAAGTATGAATGTCAGTGTTTTCTGTGAGTTATAAATTTATAATGTATGTACAATATTGAATTTAAAAAATAATAATTAACATTAAAATTAATATAACAATAAAAAATAATATAATATAAATTTGATAATAGATAATTTTACTGTCATATTAAAACTAGTAACACAAAAAATATTTTTTCTGAATTGTTAAACTCGGTGTTGTACTTTAGTAAGATACATGTGGACATCACATGCTCGGAACAGCAAAATACAAAGAATGTTAAGTCCTTTAAAAACTTTTTTTTGGAGTACTTAACGATGCACATTAGATATGATACATATTTAATAGTGAGATAAGTATTTTGCATTTTAATGCAGATGCACTCTATGGTGAATATTCTAGAAATGTATGTAATATAGCTACAGTAACAAATCAATGACTTCCAAACTTTTAGATAGATCAAGGTTATTGGTTATGGAGTAGATAATATTATGAGGTAGACACTGTGTCCCTACAGTTGACCATAAACAATGCATTGTTTTTATAAGAATACAGTAGTCTGGTCTGGACATCCGGTTAATTTGGAAATCAATTATTTATATTATGTGTTTATATAATGTATGTATACACATAAAAACATATATAAAAATTATTTAAAAATCAAAAAATGAAACGTTAGATACGAGGCTTCATACATTTGGTTTTTCAACGTGAAAAGGGTGTTCTGTTGTCGGGTGTAATTTAACAAGGTATCGTGATAAATATCATTCTGTTTAATCCGGGTTAAGTCTGGATCAGCGAGACTACTGTACTACTTTAACTCTTAAATTTGTTTTTAGACAACATTATATTTTCATTACTTGTTTAATGCTTCATTAAAGTAACTGAAATTGGAAGTTAAACAAAATTGTGATGTATTTACATACCTGAATAGCCAGTCTTGGGCCATTTGAAATAAACCACAAAGGTATCCCAAACATAGTTAATGCTGCTGTTGAGGGCTTGGTTTGTGTACAACGTGTTCCTAGTACTGTCGCACCTAAAAATCATGTTTAAAACAGTTAATTTTAGTTTTTATTAAGCATGGTCAAAATTGGAATAGTATAAAATTGAATTGTCACCAGCAGATTCTAAAGCGTAATCAACCATCCCTGTTTTATCAGCATCATAAACACTTAACGTAGATTTCATTGTTATGTTGACATACTGTTCAATATAGTTAACAATTGAATTCCAATCATTTTTAGAACAAGCTTCTTTTGATGTAGATTCGGTAATTGTTTTTAATATGGCTAATTAAAAATACAAAAATACATTTTAATTATTTTTAAATTTAATTTATTACAAATGATTTACTAATTTATTATACTCGTAAGAAATAAACAGTATAATTAATTATTTTATTCAAGATTATTAGTTATGTCAATCACCTGGTTTAGATTTGTAGTCCTCAAAGCTATCGACTAGGTTTGAAACAATATTTTGTAGTTCTGAAATTTTCTTTTCCATTAATTGAATAGTTTCTTTATCGCGCCCAGCAATTTCATTCTTAACATTGTTTAGTGTAATTTTTTGGTTGTTTAATTGGTTCTAAATGAAATAATTTTATATTTATTTGTATACAATAAATAATCCAATTACTTTACAAGTATACATAATATAAATTTACATTAATCCAATTCAAGTTTTCAGAGTTCAGCTTTTCTAATTGGGTTTTTAACAAATATTGAAATTCTTGATCATGTAATTTTACTAAATTTGACTGCGAAATATTTAATTGGTTAATAAGTACATGTTGAAATTCTTCAGAAGCTATAATTTTTCTAGCCAACAAATTATAATCAAAAGCTAAAAATTCTTGATTTTGTTCAACAGGAACAGTATGGGCTTTAGTGGCCGAATCCACAACAATATTAATATTACGATATACCTGGATACAAAAAAATAAAAATCTTTTTAATTAACTGCAACATTTTATAATACTTAATATGCTATGTAAATATGTAATTATGTACTACATACATTAAAAAATAATTGTCCAAATAGTTTTAAAGCAACCATTGTTGAAGCAAATGCCACTGTTATTAAATCCAATACAAAATACACAGTAGAAGATAATACTTGACAAATTGATGTGACTAAATTGAGTATATTAATAAATGGTGATAGAAGGAAATGTGTCCAAGAATCTCGCCATACTGGAATTTCTAAAGGTATCAAGTAGTTTAAAACTCCAACTAAAAAACACAAGTAATAATATTATTCATCAGTTTTAAACGTTGATATTAAAAGTAAAATTTTTAAATACATATAATAAAACTTGTACCTGTTAAAAATAATATGAATGCCGAAATTAAGATGAAAAATAGATTGTTTATTCTAGTATGTCCAAAATAACGATAAATAATTTTTCGTAGAGTCGTGATGATAACCAATTCATAATGCACTAAAGTAATAGTGGCCAAATGCACCCAATTAGTTATCTTCCGAATAGTAGTATTAATTATGTTGGAGCCAACCTCTAAAATAACAATGAACAAAATATTTAATCAAATAAGTTAGGAGTAAAGAAACTTATATAGCTAAAATAATATGTTTATCTTCATCTGTAAATAATAAATGTATATATCTGACATAATAGTTTTTACAACAATCTAAACAAGTTCATTTAAAAGAAAATTTGATTAAAGTAGCTTTAAAATATATATTTTTTATGAGCTTAATTAATTAAATACATAATATAATATTAATAATACAATAATTGCATAAAATGTTATATTATTTCAACACTACAGGTTAATACTTAACATCCTAAATATTTTCATTTTTTTAAATATGTCATATACTCATATCTTATATAAATACATATTATTATGTGTAGTGAAACCAAAACCAAATTTATTCGCGAATAAAAAAAAACATGATATATAAGCATTTGATAAGATATTTGTGAATAAATTACTTCTAGTTATTTTATTTAAGTATTCAATTTTCCCCATGAAACAATAGATTTAAGTATTCATTAAAAATAATAACATAACGCTTTATGTAATAAACTTTTATGAAGTAATCATTAAACAATTTATTTTATTGCCATAAAATCTAATAGTAAGAATAATAATAAAAATTGTATAGGTTTTATGTTTTTTTTAATGTCTATAAACATAAAATTAAACAATTTATTTGTACTACACTGTTTTAAAAATCAAATATCTAATAGCCCACATAATTAAATCATAAGCTAATACAAAACAAATGTATTAATACATTTTTATATCTTACCCATAACAGACTCGTGTATTTTTGATAGTGTAGAAATAGAAATAAAATATGAAATTATAAATTTAATAAATAATTGTATTGAGTGAGAAACGTATTTTACAAGTGTTACAGCTTTTCTTTGTGTAGTAAAGGAGGTTTCATTGATTTCTGTTTCAGTTTCGTTGTGATTTGTTACTTTATAATGTTTATAAGTTTTAGTTGTAAATAATTTTTTTTCTGTAAAATATAAGTTTAAAAATCAAAATAAATATTTACATCATTTTTTTATCTGTTAACCCTTACACTGCTCTAGACGTACTATTACATTCCTGTATTTTATATTATAATTTTCATGCAACCATACAACTTTAGGAAACCCTGGCTCACATTAATTTAAATTTAAATAATTAGATCATAAAGACCTCAACATTTAAATTTAAAAAAAAATTAACTGATTAAAAATTAAAAAATGTATTTCATATCACAGATTGCAGAGCATAAATAGTGTAGCAGTGAAAAGGTTGATACCAAATAGTTAATAAACGAACTTATGTGACTAGAATTAATGATACGAGATGATTGGTCTTCATAAACATCATGTTTCAGAGGAGTTTTCTCATAAGATTTAAGAGGTAATCTTGACATGTTTGGTATGAGAGGTATGCCTGGAGACACTTCATACTTGTAGTATTTGGATCCAGGTGAATAGGTATTATCTGTTTTTGGCAAAACGCTGTACACAAAAAAATATTTAAAAAAATAATAATCAATAAATTTTAGAGGTAAACTTACTCTTGCCATCCGTCGAAATTATAATAAAATTTTACTATTTCTTTGGGGCTCTTGAATGGGCCAGATGCAGGCCTTATAGTGAAACTTGAATCTTTAGTCATGAAGTATAGGGGTATTACAATCAATGACAGTACCTAAACATTATAAGTTAAAAATAAAATGAAAGAAGTTAAAGTCAAATTAAATACTAATAATAATGACTACATATTGTATAATATATAAGACTACATTTTGTTTTAGACAAATATTTCGCTGATAATTTTTTGAAAAAAAAACTCAAGTTAACTTAATTTAAGAAACCTCAAAACAAATGTTTAAATGTTGTAACAATTTTATATTGTGTACGACTTGGTTGTTCTTGTAGTTTATTTCCACCATTTTTTTTTATGTTAACAATACACTGGAAACTGATACACTTATCCCTGCAGGGGATAGTCTTTTATGAAAGTTTATTACTATAATACATACCTCATCAATACCTGCAAATGATATCGGACATGTGTACCATTAGACTATCAGACTCGCTTCGGTATACTTCCAATAATTTATTCAAATATAATATGGTGATTATTAATAGTTAAACACAATAATAACTTCGAAACGAAGTTTTAAATTCAAATTGTCTAGAGAGAAATTTGTGATTACTGATTACAAAAAATTCGGTTAGATAAGAAAACAAAATAATTTCAATGCATAATAATAGTAATAATGTTTATTGGGTCATGTTTGCAGGTTTGTGACGAGCCTCATTGCACCATGTTCAAATACGTACAACGTACACTACTACATCAAAACCTCACCACAAGGCACAAATATCACAGAACAATAATAATAAATAATATATCTATTACCTACGTCATGTTATTGTTCTGTCGATCTGTAGACTGAGGTAAAAATCTAAAATAATAGTATCTCTGCTGTAAAATGCAAACGTTATTTAATATTTTTTTGATCTAATACCAAAATCGCAGTCGCAAAATAATAGGCAGTTTATCACTCACTTACGTTTTGCTAATTTGTAATATTGACGTCAATAAATTACCTACTTAATATTATACTTATTTTAAACCACGATTAACAAAATCTGCACGTAACTGCACATGCAGTACTGCACTAATAGCACTTATCTGAGTGCGAATAAAGCGGCACAACAATAATAATAATTATAGATTATATAGTAATTATATTAACATAATTTGTGCAGTGATGCCTTATGCGCATCGAATACCTAATTAAAATTTGATTCTGAATTTTAAATAACATTTTGGTTATTGAACTAAAGATTTTACCAAATTCATTCCCTATAATAGTATAATAATATGCTATTTAGTATTTATTAATATATTTTAATCGAAATACGAAGTAAGATTTTTTTCAAATAGGTACCTACCTAGTACCTACTGTGGACTTCGGTACTCGTACTATACTACTATGTTTAATGTTCATTATTTATGTTATTAGACAGACATATACAGTTGTACTATAGTAGACACGTGAATATCATTAGTCATCATTATGCAATATTGTACCGCCCCGGCGCCCTACTCTGGAGTCCGGGTTGTCGGGACTACGGTGGTCATCACAATTCACAATAATATTATCGTATATAGTTTTGGCCTTTGGGGTGAAATGGTGAATCGTTCAATCGAGAATTTGATATTAACATAGACCTATAGACTATATTCTATAAACTAAGTTATTAACTTAAATTAGTTTATATATAGGTCTATGCGGATATCGGGATATGTAGGTAATCGGAAAAAAAATCCCAGGAATATAATACTCATTACTCGGAATAGGAATGTATTTGAATAAATGGGTGAAAATGTATTCGAATACTTATAGAATATTAATTTTTCCAGCTAATATAGGTATGTCAATTTTAGGAACAAATTCACTTTAAGCTGTCAAACATTTTTTTTAAATTTTTTTTTTGTAGTTTTGTTGTTTTGTATTCCAGAAAGTTAAGAACGATGGCGCAAAAAAAGTTTGCGGAAATCGTTATTTTGGAAGTTATATCCTTCCAAAGTTTGTGATTTTACGTTTATACGCATATACGCACAACTTCACTGCACTTTACTGTCACACACATCGCATATAAAGAATAATTTAGATTTGTTTAAGGAAGTTACCTATGTCGTAACTATATATTATGAACACGATGATCAGACTTAGTTTAAAAATTATAGCTCATTGAAATACATAGTATTTTCATATACACCCGACGTGGTCACTAGATCGCTGCGCTCGCTCGGACAATTAAAATCGAAAACATCCCTTACTCCCTCGACTTGTTATGTAAAACCACCTTAGGTGGGTCTCGGAGTTAAAAACAAAATTATTAAAAGCACAGGTACTTTTCTGTTATCCCTACTACCGCGGGTCTTAACTCTGTTTTCTCGACCACCTCGCCGACGCCGATTTAGATAAAATCGATAATAAATCATAAACATGAATATAAATATAAAAATACCTCACCGATACAGTTCATATTTTAATCGTACATAGACCTTTTTATCATAATTACTTTTTATGAGCGTTTCAGAGTTTGAATATATAATTTTTACGATATTGTATATTTAGTAGTAATTTATCAAGTTCAACAAGACCTTAAAGCACTAAGCACTAACATTTTTTTGTGATTAGTTATTTTTTTGACAACAATAACACTATCAACATTATATTACTGAAGTGTATGTTCGATTTCATTTTCTTCGTCTTCTCCTACAATAAAAAAGTTTGGGTTTTTCTTTAATATATTAATAAAAATGATGAGATATTGAACAACGCATGAAAGTAAAAAAAATAAAGTTAACCTTTAAAATAAATGTGTTTAACATAAATCAAAAACTGTGTAAATATGCTATAAATAACAATTAAACTGCCAAAATTTGTCAAATATGCATTTTGCTCAGAAAACGGCAAAATATGCAAAAATATGCAATTAAAATGTTTGTATTTCAATCCGTTATGACTTAAAACAAATTTAAATCTTTCTTAGACTATTCTGCAGTCATTAAGCAATATGCAAATGCAACAATGGCTGCGCTCTCTCTGACTATTAAAATCAAAAACACCCCTAGGCCCTAGGTTTGTTATGTAAAATCACCTTGGGTGGGTCTCAGGACTCAGGTCTCAGGCTACAAATAGCTAAAACTTCAAAACTAAGTCCGATTGCAGCTGAATTCTGAGTACACCATCGTTTTTATCTTGTAGTTCCTACATAAGTAAGTAAAAAAGTCGCTTTGCTGTACAGCAGGTTACAAGTGGGTCACTGTAATGTGTAATGGATGGTGTTAAATTTGAATTCAATGATATAATATCATTGTATAAGAAAAACGATTCTGAGCGAAAACGGTCAGTCAGCCTATGATATTAAGAAGTATATTTGATAATATTAAGGTGAATAAAGTAATTTATATATAACCTATTTAAGTGGAATATTATTTTAAATTTACAATCCTTATAGCTATAAAAGTTGAACATTTTATAAATTTTTGACTACAAAATAATTATTCAATTTTGAACTTTAAATACTTATAAAAAAAAATTGTGAGTATGTATTTTAAATATTTTTCAACTGCTATTGTTACAATATACCAGGAGTCTTGCATTACATTTTCACGCTTTTTTACCCAACAAATAAAATTTAATTGATATTTATAGAAAAAAAAGATGCTCTGCTGTACAATACCTAGGTTACAAGTGGGTCGCTGTATAATGGATGGTATTAAATTTGAATTCAATGATATAATATTATTGTATAAGAAAAACGATTCTGAGAGGAGACGGTATGTCAGTCTAGCTATAGGACATATTGATATTATATACTTATCTATGGTAATAAAAAAAGGGCCTACTCGTATAATAAATTCCAAATTATTCATATCAATCATATCACATAATCCTTTAGTTACTTATAACGCATTATACAACAACAACAAACCCTGATACTATCATAGATGTATAACAGTGTACTTTAGAAGTTTCAAGTACCTACGAATAATATTATACAATCACAACAAAATAACTAAAATAGTTATTCTAGGTTTTTAATATGTAATTTCGTCCGAATTTGAACTTTAAATGACTATAAAAATAAACTGTGTCTATGTATTTTTTAGATTTTTTGGTTACAGAATTAACTACTTACGTGGAATCTTGTTTTAAATTTTCAATCCTTAGATATAAAAGTTAAACATTTTATAAATTATTAACTACAAAATAATTATTCAATTTTAAATTTGATAAATGTTGTCAAATGTCGATCTTTAAATGATTAAAAAAAAAAATTGTGCCTATGTATTTTTAATATTTTTCAACTGCTATTGTAACAATATATCAGGAGCCTTGTATTACATTTTTCCACTTTTTGGCCCAACAGATAAAACTTTATTGATATTTTTAGAAAAAAAAACTAAAAAAATTGAAAACGGAAAATGTCCGTAATCAGCTCAAAAAGAGTCAATACATTTTCAAAATTGTATGGTGTATAGGAAATATAAACATTCAGGGAAATGTTCATGTACCTACAGTTATTCGTTTTTGAATTACAACAAAATAAGGAAATCGCTACATGAGAAATCGAGTGAATAATATCCAATATTGTAAAATTATGAACTTTAAAGTCTCATAAAAATTTAATTTGACTTTACGGTAGAGATTTTTTTATTGATGAAGGTAGACAAACTTATGAGTAATCTTGTATTACATTTTCAAATCTTAGATTTAAAAAGAAAAATTTTTACGAATTCTTAACTCAAAATAATTTGCTAATTTTCGTGATATTTCCATATTTTGTCAATTTTTGAACTTTAAATGCTTATAAAAAAAAACTGTGACCAAGGATTTTTCATCTGCCTTTGAAACAATAAACTAGGAGCCTTCTATTACATTTTCAAACTTTTTTAACCAACAAAAAAAACTAAAAAAAAATTCAACATGAAAATGTCCCTAAACAGTTCAAAATAAATCAAAATATTTTGAAAATGTTATCGTGTATAGAAAATGCAAATATAAACAACCAGTGAAAATTTCATGTATCTACGGTAATTTGTATTAAAGTTACACCAAAAACCAAATTCAATTTTGTGAAAAATCGATTTTGGGTACAGATTTTCGTTTATCCTTAATTTTCTTTTGTTTTTCTTGGCGCTTTTGAAAATTACTGAGAATTTTATATTTTGACCTCCCAATGCACGAAAGATATTCACTTTCCCATCGAACAAGATACTGAAGTTGAAAATCGAAGCATTATTTCAACTAGGTAATAATCGTGTACACAGACACAAAAATAAAAAATAAAAAAACACACATCATTGTAAGATCAATACATTCATCGTTTCACTCAGAATCTAAAATATTCTTTATAGGATATGCCGATGCTCGTGGCAGTAAAATTCAGTGGTGAGAAAATGCGGATAAACGTAAATTCACACATTTTGGAAAAATATAACTTAGAAATAGATATAATCAATCGACAATCAGTTCCAAAATAATGATTTCCGAAAAAATTTTTTTGCACCATAAGTCTTACTCGTTGAAATACTTATGTTTTGAAAAAAAAAATTCTAGGTTCTGTGTAGATAAAGTGAATTTATGCCCAATTTTGGTTATTAGTTATCTACCAGCTACCTATTCTAATATATATTATTTGCGCAGTACCTACATAAACATAATCATATTAGTATGCTAGTAACAACTATAAAAAATTCTAAATGTCGATTTGAATAGTTAATAACTTAGTTTTCTCAAAAAAGTTTCAGATAGACGATAGTACCTATTTAGATTTATAATAGGTACAGAATACTTTACAAGGTTGCTGACAACGACCAGACTGAGGTCTGAGACCATAGAAGTATTCAAGTATGTATACTATATTTTACTACATAAACGAATATTCCGTAATAAATTAAATTTTTATTTAGGTATATAATATTATATTATTATTCAGTATTTCGCTTTCTGTGGTAATACGTCGAACGTTTTATGGTAATATGATCTAATATACCTAATCTCGTCCGGAAAACTTGTAATTGTAATACAGAATTTTAATCTCTATAAGAGATTCTCTAATAATATAATCATTTATATTGGAGAAAAAAAGAATTTTGGTTTGTCCACGTGTCTGTTGGCTGCACTGCGGTAATATACGTGCACGCCCCGCCTATTCACGCGGCGCTCTCGATCCGTAAAATGTTTCTTTTTCGTTGCCTCTTTTCGAGTCTTAAAATTTCTTGTTAATTTTTTTAATAAAACTTGTTGAATTAGACGTCTGACCAACTGTAAGTATTATTTAATTATTATTTATTGATCACAAATCATCAAGATGGTGTCTGCGATCTAGGGCTGGTGAAAGACCATTTGACCACCGTCTCTTAGCTTTACGCCGTGTCAATTTTTGGCCACATGTAAATATGTAATGCGGCATATTCTATAAATTAAACTTGTGATCGGACTCAAAGTTGCTGTAGATTTCATTTGTTCGGTCCTTAAGTCTTTTCTTTTCAATCGGTTGATTAGTTTAGCGAATTCTCACTTATAAACTGCAAGTAAACGAAAGTATTATATTTTTATTTGAGGTTATGTTTTTTGTAACCTGTGTTGGGTCTATTATACACCATGTCAATCATCATGTTTGCAAAGTTCGATAGAATTTCTCTTATGAATTATAACTTATACATTTTATAATTTTCCATCAGGTATTCAGGTGATAAATTTTTTTATACACATCAATATTGTGTTTGATGTATATATGTATCAGTTGAATGTTTACATATACCTACATTGAATTTGATTACTTATGCACTTGTGTAATTTATAATAAAATTAAATACCTACCTATTGTAGTATTGTATCCTGTACATGTAATTAATTAACTGAAATGTGTCAATACATTTTTAACTATTTTTTATGATTTTTTTAGGCTGCAACATGTCGGGAGGACTAGATGTATTGGGCTTGAAAGAAGACGATGTCACCAAGATGTTGGCTGCCACCACCCACTTGGGTGCGGAAAATGTCAACTTTCAAATGGAACAATATGCTTTTAAGAGAAACAGCCGCGGTAAATTTAATTTTAACATGGTATCTAGAAGACCATGTTTATTAACATTTTACTTATAGGATTGAACATTTTCAATTTGAACAAGACATGGGAGAAACTGTTGTTAGCAGCTAGGGCTATTGTTGCTGTTGAACATCCATCAGAAATTTTCGTAATTTCATCTAGGCCTTATGGACAACGTGCTGTATTAAAGTTTGCAGCTTACACTGGTGCCACACCAATTGCTGGTCGTTTCACTCCAGGAGCTTTTACTAATCAGATACAAGTAAATTATACATTTTTATTTAAACTTCTAAGGGTTATTTTTTCAACTATATTTGTTTGATATGATTTTTTTTGTACGCTCCAGTCAATCTGAATTACTATGACTGAATAATAAGTACATATGATCAAACTAAATTTTGTTGATGTGTTATTGCATACATTGTTCTACCAAGATTCTATTCATATTTTGAATGAACTTGTTTATGCATTCAAAAATGCTTATAAAACATAATGGGTCCTCAATAGCTAGGCATACCAGACATACCATTATGATCTACATGTCTAATAATACATTATCATTAATATTTTTTATTTGTTGAAATAATATGTTATTTAATATTCTGTTGTGAATATACACTTGGCTAGTTAAAATATTATTATTTTCTTAAGATAATCTATGTAACATATTATGATATATTAAGTAAATTATTTTATTATTGCCTATGAAAGTATAAAAATAAAAATAGTACTTGCCTATACTCTTTTCTTAATGAGACAAGTACCGGGAGCCACGTTGTGCACATTGGCGTGGTTTTGCCATGCGATAGAACTTGACATAGTGGGGACGGTGTCTGCTCTTATTTGGAACAAAGTATAGATATGCACAAACAATATTTAAAAATAAGTCACACTTGTATTCTGTTTTTATTTTAGATATCTAAGGTTAAACAATTTAATATACTATTTTTTAAAATGATGACTCAATATACACCCCAGTCAATCTGAATTAAAATGATTGATCAATCTGTAGTTTCTGATTTATGCATATTCTAAATTCCTTAATTGTATATATTTCCATTTTAGTCACTCCATGATAGTAAACTTAATAAAGACGATATGCGGTGTTCTCATTAAAATAGTCAATCTGACTTAGTTGCTAAAATTTTTTTTTTGATATTTTGATAAATTCATTAAGTTTAGGCAACATTATCCATTTAATTTAAATGTTATTATATGTAACAAATAATGTTGGTTATTTAAACTTATGAAACTTATATGATGACTATACACCCCAGTCAATCTGAATATTAATGATTGATACATACGTGGTTCTGATTCTTATATTTTTAAGATAACTTCCAAATTTGTGTTAATTTTTAATCTCGCTAATATATGAAACTTAAATTATATTATATAATGCACCCAATTTATATTAATAGTTGGTTTAGTGTACTTATAATTTTTATTTTCTGTATTACTTGCTTGTACATTTTCATTGATTTATAATGTCATTAAGATATTTATAAAACATGTTAACTTGTCAAGCCTGATTTCGTAACTGATGTAAAAGTGACCACTTATTCTAATTGATATAAATATTTTAGCGAGGCCTGGTGTGGTTCAGTGGTTGGCCTCAGTTACTAATGTGTTAGTACTAACGGCTGGCGTCTCTAGTTCCTGGATGGTTGACCACCCGGGTTCTAAGTGGTGTTCCTCAAACCGCAACCAAATGCTAATGGCCATAGTTTCTGATCCTTATGATCATTTAAAAAAATTAATATATATACATAATATTAATGACAATTAATTTCTACTTTTTGATACTGAAATGATGACTATACACCCCAGTCAATCTGAAAATTAATGATTGATAAATTATTGTGTACTGATAGTATTTAAATCAATTAAATTTATATGTTTATATACATATATTTTACTCATGTAAAAGTTAATGTACTATTTTTTGTTCCTACTAGGCTGCTTTCCGTGAACCTAGACTTCTTGTTGTAACCGATCCAGCCACTGATCATCAGCCAATCACTGAAGCTTCTTATGTTAACATACCAGTTATTGCTTTATGTAATGCAGATACTCCATTAAGATATGTTGACATTGCCATTCCGTGTAATAATAAGGTAATATATGCTTAGTAACTGTATTGTAATCATGTATTAAAATTGTATTCTTTTATAATAAAAGTTATTATTTACTATTTATTATAGTCTCCTCATTCTATTGGACTTATGTGGTGGTTCTTGGCCCGTGAAGTTCTTCGTCTTAGGGGTACTATTCCTCGTGATGGTAAATGGGATGTCGTTGTTGACTTGTTCTTTTACAGAGATCCTGAAGATGTAAGTGTCTTTGTTTTTTGTTATTTTACTTGTAGATAATAAAATCATACTAAATATTTGTTCAGGTTGAAAAAGAAGAAGCTGCTGCCAAAGAAGCATTGCCCGCAGCTTCAACTGTTAAGACGGTTGTTGGTATGGAAGAAGCTTATTCATTATCCAATACAGCTGCTGACTGGAATGAGGGTGCTGTAGCAGCTACTGCTCCACAAAATTGGGCGGAAGATGGAACTCCTGTGCCACCATTGGCAGTAGCTCCAGCTACTCCAGCTCCTGCTCTTGACTGGGCGGTTTGTATTTTCTTGTCCCTTATAAGCCCATTATTTTTAAATATATTTTGCTATAATTTGTTCAATTTTTAGGCTGAAGAATGGAATGCGGCGCCAGCTACTGGTGCAGCCAATACCAACTGGGGAGGTGGTTCTGCACCTAACTGGTCAACCTAACAACATGTAAAACATTTTTCTTAAAGAATAAAAACTTCTTTTTGAATTTTGAATTATTTGCCATTTTTATTTTATCAACTGCCTTAATTTCCTTCTTTTTATTTTTTTATTCTTTTTGCTCTTTATTACATGATGAAATATTTTTATTTTTATGAAGTAAATATTGTAATTTATAAAAATACATTTTACCAGCAGTATTAGAATAGGATATTCCTCAATTGCAAAAGTTTTTTTTAGACAATTAACTGAATTTTTAAATTTTTATAAACTATTCTTACTTGATTGAAGAGATTTATACTAGAGTAAAATAATATATTACATTATTGTTTTAAATATTTCAAAAGTATGTGTTTAATTATTATTTATCTTGAATCATAAAATTATTTATTCTTTAATTAAATAAAATTTATTGAATTAAAATATTCTAGCATATTTCTTCTATTAAGAAATTATTCAATTGAGTTCCTAAAACATTTACAGTCTTAATATTTATTAAATCGTATTGATAATAAATGAATTTCACTAAGTCAGCACTTAATGAAATTCCTGCTGCCTTTGAAGTTTAAAAAATATTATTGGATTTTTTTCTGTTGCATTTAGGTGCATTGTATGATTTAAAACAATTTGTTATGAATTTATGATCATAAGCTAAGATCTCTGATTAAAAATTATGTTTAATTTGGTGATTAATTCATAACAATGGGAAATAATGTGTGATTTTGCGATAAATATGTAAGTTTTAAAAAAACAAAACGTCAACTCTCCTAAAGAATTAAAGCACAGAATAGCTAAATGATTGAAGCAAGCACCATAAGTTAAATTTTTTATGGTATGTTTTTAAACCTGGGGGCATCGAAAACATTTCTACATGAAATTTCCAGATATAGTATCTCATCTCTAAATAATATGATATTATGTACCTCTCATAAAGACTAGAATTCATGGTGTACCTCCTATCGTTCTTTGATAACATTGATAATAATCTTGGCTTTAGATATAGCCTGAGATCATAATATCACTATTAAGGATGTATTAAACCTTAAATCATTGATCATATTCAATAGATGAAGCTACGCTTGTAAGTTGTATTGCTTGTATACTGAGCTGTGCCCAACATAATTCCATGAGTGGACTAGGGCCCATTCGGCACACTATTACGAAAAAAATTGGCATTATTCTATTACTGCCTAAACTTTTAGAACTTAATTTTTTGACATTTGGCTACTCACCACACCATAATCAATAGGTAGGTTATAAATGTTATTACAATTTTAATTAATTTGAGGTAATATTAATTGTCCGTTATTTACATTGTACTTTAAATCATATGTAAAATCTAGAGTATGAATATGTGATAGCTGATGCTAATATATTGATACTTCTTACGTCTGTTACATTTGATGTCTATTAATAAAATTAATATTGTATGAGGCTATGAATTAATAGAAATATGAATTATTGTAAGACATTAGTTTTTAACACAACTTGGAATTAGATACAAAGTATCTAAATTTAAATCTTTTTTTGTATTTTTTGAATTGTCTTGATTTTAGGTACTTTTTAGCCTTTATTGGTCAATTTATTATTCTCTATTATTTTTTTTATATTTTTTACAAAGCTTGTTTATTAAAAACATTTTACTCACATTTTAAGGGTTGACTTTTAATTTTTTATAAATGATTAAAAATAATAAAATTATAGTTTTTTTCTTAATACAACTTGATACATTTTTAATATTTACATACGTTTTATATTTTGAATTTTGAATTAATTTTTCAGTGTATATTATGTATCTATGGGCTATGGTGCATTTTAAAATGATTATTTTGAGATTTTAAATTCATTTTTAAGGTTTTTTTTTCTGCGATTGTTCACAATTGTGAATAAATATTATTATATATTATTATAATTATTAATAATATACTTAACTGTGTTTTTTTTTTTATTTTTAAACTAGATGTACAATCTGTAATATAATGGTAAACAATAAGCACAAGTGATAAAAGAATAAGTATAGAAAAGACAAAATAATAGGGTAATGTAACAAACAGGTTGATAATTACAATTATTTACATCAATTCTGACAGGGGGGATGAGTGAAGAGACCATCCATTGATGGGACTTCGTGACATGTGGAGGTTAGTCTAAGAGTAGATCACGACACCACGTTCGTTTTAGTCGCCTTCTAGGGTCACCAGGTGTAGTGGGGGTGGATAGTTCCGAGATCAAGGGGTTACGGTGATTGTGGAGATTGGCGTGCATGCGTTTGTAAAAAGATTTGGCAACGTTTTTTACTGTTTGGATGGATAGATATTTATGGAGAGTATCATTAGAGACACAAAATGGGGCTTTAGTTAATTGTCGTAGGCATTTGGATTGAAAAGATTGAATTTTATTAATATTGGAGGGTTTGGCAGCACCCCATAATTGGATGCCATGTCCTTTACTCTGTAATTTCTAAAACTAGAGTGAATTTACCACTTATGAAATTTAAATTTAAGGTTATTATCTAGGGGCATCTCGGAAGCTTTCATTGATATTATTAGGAAGCAAGTTATGACCATTTTTAAACTGTACATTTTTTTTGCCGGACATAATATGACATCGGCTCACTAGGCAATTGCCCAGTGGCCCAGTCCGCCCCTGAATTCCACTCCACCCATTTAATTTCAGGGAATAACATGTAATTAAGCATAGTATGTTGCGCCAACAATCACAATAAAATAACTAATAAATGTCGGTTATGTATTCACGTTCGACCTTAGAGGCTAAAGCAGTGTCGTATAATATTGGGGTATAAACCCCCTCCCCCAGAAATTTATTTTTGGTATCAAGGTGGATATCAATCCACCTTGACCTTGGTCGGTACGGTATTTTAAATTTTAATACTACGATTAATTTATAATATTAATTAAATATATTTTTTTTATCCCCCCCCTTGAAATTAATTTCTTTATACGCTACTGCCATAGGGCATAGAGTAATATGTATTGGACACAGCAAAATATTCAAGTCCATCCATTTAATATTATGATCTAAGCCCTATAAACTAAGTTATAGGGCTACTAACTATTGATCTATAATAATGTAAAATTTACGTCATGTAATATAACTTATAAGTTATAAGTAATAAGTTCTAACCATAACTATTAACTATATTTTAAAAGTTAAAACTCATTGAAGAAAATATGATACCCCGAAGAAAATCATATGTTTTTTATCGTTTTAATCATAATATATTACATTATATATATATATAATTTGTATATATTATAAATAATACGATAAGTACCTATCGTTCTTTGATAACGTTGATAACAATGAAAAATTTTATTCAGATTTCAGAATAGGAATTTCAGATTATTCAATCCCTCTAAAGCCATCCATTGGTTTTTTCGCATTTTATTAGTTGTATTTGTATATAACAATATAGTAAGGGGTATTACATTTACCTTACGATGTCTTATATACCGTATGAGATTATTACTCATAAAAGACAAGTATGTTCACTTTATAAAAAAGCATGCAGGACCATCGAGGATTGGTATCATTACAGGTAAAACACTTATCATTGGGATCAAATAATATAATACTAAATACATTAACTATTTATATTTAATGTTAGTTCTGAAATATAGTATAATAAATAACATTATTGCTCATAAGAATAATTTTACCATGTCTTAAAATATAAATACAATTATTGAAAAAAAAATGAAGTCTTGTACCTACCTAGTCTTAATATAAATTAAATTAATTTAAATTGTAACCCTAGATTACGTTAATAATTTATAAGTATGTTAAATGTTCTTAATATAAAACATGACAGTTTACAGAGATGTTAATTTTATACAATTTGTATTTACTTATAAAGGTCATAGCTGAAGTTGACATTCAAATTATTTACAGTTAAATTTATATTAAGTGTGATTACAAGGGCTGTTCCCAAACAATGTAGTGTAAAGTAGTGATCTGTCAACTATTAACTAATTCTTTACTATATTTTTCTAGACCGTTAATGCGAATTAATATTGTGCGCTTAAGAAAACGTTTTGATGACAGCAAGAATATAATAGATGTACCAACGGCACAAGAATTGTTGAAAAAAGGTCAACATGAGCTATGGTCTAATCAACATTATTATCCTCATCAGTGTAAGTAAAATACACATAAGCTATACTGCTTTCTGTTACTTTTATTGCTATGTTTATTTTACACTAGATGATAGGGCTATAATAGCTGTAGGACTGCTAAGATCTGACTGCTGATAGGAATATTATTTGTTTTGTTAAGTTAAAATGAAATTAAAAGTATTTTAGGATGAGATATGATAATAGTATAACTAGTGTTAATCATCAGTTTAATGTACATAACTTTTGTACTTTTGTTGAGGGGAGGGTGTAACCTAACAAAAATAAGCTATTTAAAGTTAATTCTAGAAATAAAAAAGCCTACAACTCATTAGTGTTTGATAAAATAATTATGGAGTTTTTCAACCCCCCCTAAATCCAATGCTAACCATCTTGTAGCCAGGGGCGGACCCAGGGGGGGTTTGGGAGGTCAGCTGACTCACAGTTTTTTTCCCAGTTAGATGTGGCCCCTCGAAATGGTTGACTATATAAAAATTTTTTATTTGAAAAAATTATATGTCAATTTTCTGTAGACAATTTGTTATGTAACTACGAGTATCATATAAATGAAAAATGCACTTAATAAGAATAATACTACCAAATATTAATTATTATTTATTATAATCATTATTGTTTAAAAATGATAGTATGTATGTATTATTAATTAAAATTAAAATTATACAATTTATATGTGCCCCCCCCCCCCTATAAAATTATCGAAAATCTGCTATTATGATATAGGGGTATATACAGTCACAAATACTGAGTATTGTAGTAAAATAGAGCGTACAAAATCGTGCTTAAACTTATCAACTTATAATGTAACTAAATTCGAAAAACACAAATATAAAAATATGTTAGATATATTATATAAGATTTTATGAAGTTGATATAGAAGTGGAATACCGTTCATTATATCTAGTTAACCAACAAGTGTATGACAAAACTATTGAAACTGGACCTTTAAAATTAAATGAAGTATTGAAGTTCATGATATCACGATGCATGGTTTCTTCGTATCCAAATGTATATAGTTTGTATACACTTCCAGTGGGCAGTGCAACTGCAGAAAAAAGTTTTAGCCGTCTAAAACTTCTCAAAACATGCCTTCGCTCAACTATAACTGAAGACTGGCTATCAAATTTGGCCATATTGAGCATAGAAAGCAACATAGCTCAAACAATTGATTTTGATAACGTAATAAGTACATTTGTACTAATGAAAAAGCCCTGAAAATTATTGTAATATTCTAGTTCTTTACTATTATTTTCATGTAGGTAAATAAAATATAAATTTTATAAATGTATTATTTTTGACTTTTGTAATGTGTTAAAATTTAGAACCGCCTTCTATATCTCTTGTGAAAATGAAATCAGTCATTGAAAACTAAAATGAAATAAATATACTACAAGTATACGCAGGGGCGGACTGGGAGGTGAACAGCCCAGTATTCTAAAAAACTAAACGGCCCAAGCCCCTTTATAACAGCTTCTTTATGAATACCTACTTTTTCGGGTATAAATTATAAATAGACAATAGCCAATAGGTTCTATTAATTATTATTTATTTTATAAGAATCATAAATGTATAATCCTTTTGATATTTTTGATGTTTGTTTGCTATTGTTTTTGTCATTTATTTTATATTCACCATTCATACTCGTATTAAACCAAAATTATTCATTACTTTTAATATAAACTTAATGTTTATAATGTTTTCTGTTCCCTTTCTCAATCAACCTACAATATTTTTATAAATATTTACAAATGGTTAATGGTTCAATAATTGTAGTTTAGCAATAACTTTCTGGCAGTAGATGTACCAACCAAATCAGATAAAGAGTTTAAACATTTTTGTGGATAAAACTGATTTTTGAAATTGTAATACAATATATAGGTACAACATATACCTAATAATTATTATTATTATAAACTTATGGTTCGACTATGAAATTATTGTAGCATTGTGCCATTGATTATAGAATAGACTATTCTATAATCAATGATTGTACCAACCAATAGCAGTGGTTTTTAAACTGTTTCATATTTAAAAATAAATTTATTTATTAGTATTATTGTCAAATGTTCAAAATTTCAAATGCCCCGGCGGCTCGGCCCACACATATAAGCCGGTCCGATGTGCTACGGCACACTAGCACACCTGGCCAGTCCGCCCCTGAGTATACGTATTAAAATAAAATAATAAATATGTATAATCCCTTCTAATGATTTAAATATGTCAGATAATTTTTTTAATTGAATATAAATTTTAATGCAACAAATAAAAATAACAATTAATTAAATATAGCTTTAATACTAAATGTAAAAATACTAAAATACTTTTTTATGTAACTTTAATGTATTTTTAAATACAGTTTTAACATATTTATACTTAAATTTTGATATATTGTCATTCTTTTTTATCGGGACTTTTTTTCCACGATTCCCCCCTGTATATGAAGGAGTTTGATTATTTTATAGGCGAATAGGTAAAGTAAGGTATACTAGTACCTACTATATCAATAAAAAAATTCTTATTAGTTTTAATTTAAACATTCTGTAGCCTAGATATGGTGTTTGGTAGTGGCTACCAGAGAATTTAATGATCACTGTTTGCCACGGTTCATTACACAAAACTGAGTCATTAAAAAATAATCATTAATATTTTTCAAAAATGTAAACAATTAAAAATAATCAAATGTTAAATATTAAACTGTTTTAACTATTCTGTATACTATACAATTATTTTACGTGTATGTCCTTTTTTTTTTTAGTTCCATCTTCACCTGGTGGAACAGCGTTTGATCGAGATTGTTTTCCTCCCGACTGGGTATTGGATTCTTGGCATCCATTAGAAAAAGCTCAGTATCCAAAATACTTTGCCAAACGAGAAGAACGCAAAAAAGAGTACATAGCATTATGGGAAAAACGCTGGGGAAAGCCATTCATTCCACATGATGAACATTAAATGGATTTTCTTTCTGTGGATTGTAGTGGATTATTGATTGTTGCTAATTAGCGATTGTTATCATAAAATAATATGATGTATCATGTATGTAAAATAAATAATGAATAAATTTAGATTTCTGAATTAAATCATCATTTTCAGTTTTAACTATAGCTATTACCACAACTATACATTAGTATTTACTATAAGTTTACAACTATAGACAGCCACTAATTATTTAATAAGTACCTTGAGAGTAAAAAACATTAAGTTAACTAAATTTTATTATTAAATATTGATGAGTCATATTATGTTCTATCAAATACTATAATTATTCATATTTCTTACTTCAAGGTTACATACTTGCAAACAACACTTTTAAATTGGTACAATAGTACATAAATCGCAATTTATAATGTAGCATTGTGGCACATTAAATATTTTTATATACTGTACAATATTCAATATAGATTATTCAAAGGTTTAAAACGAGTATCATTCATTAATTTTATATTGAGATGTCTATGATAAAATATATACTTAACCACCCGATTAAAAATATATATTTTATACTTATAAATCAATATAATAAAGTTCAATGACTAAAAGTATGTTGATAGTGAATTTGGAAGTATGAAGCAACCTATACAACCATTTACTTACATATTACTTACTATGTATGGTTAAATACATATAATAGTCTGTATTATAGACTATGCCACTACGATCAAATAAATAGACCAAAAACTGTAAAGACTTGAAACCAGAACAGACAATCCTTGTCCCTTTTGAATTATTAAACTGACTGTAAAATACTATATATCTACAAATTACAACTGTTCTAAAAATATCCTCTTAGCAGTAATTGCCAGTAGTCAATTTCAGTTAATACTTAATGATGGACTGAAGATACAGTTGATATTATCATCTATGTTATATGTTATTTCCTCACTGTTTATGGATATAAATTATTTCATAAAATTGGTTGTCCGGATTTAGACTGTGGGCCGCCACCTATCTGATCTAGTCGATACCTACCTAATATTTGGATAGTTTTTTTTCCAAAGTTAAGTTTGAAAACTAATTATCTGAGCTGACAGTGATAAATTATGCCTCTCAATGAATGCAAAATAAAAGAACCGTTTTAGGTTTTGATTATTATATAAACCGATTATCCCATTTGTACTGTATTTGTATGAAGAGTTACAATAAAAGATCCAAAGTAACACTGTTTTCTCACATTTTGGATAATCTGTTATGTACCATATTTTGAGATTATTTAAAAATGTGATGTTTTCATATCATTTAAAATTAAAATGATGATTGATAAATGATATCTTTTTTCCTTTTTTTTTTTTGGAGTTTATCATGGGACGGAGGAGGAAAAATGATAATATCTAAGATTAATTTTATTTAGATGTTGACTTATGAGTTGATTTTAAAGTGAAGAAAAAGAAATGTTGTATCGAGTTTAAATGCAATTTTAGTTACCATTTGTTTACTAACAATTCGAGAATAAATAGTAAATACCACAAAAAACATAGGTCCTAATATCCAATTATTTTTCAGGTACAAAAAATCTAGTTCCTATTTGTAAGTAAAAATTAACTTTCGTATGGTCGAACAAGGAGTTATAACTTTTAAATTTTGAGGGACTAAATTTCACTCCCTCATCTTCACAACTATTGTACCTCATTATATTAATTTTGTGAGAAGAATCCATTTCATAATCTCACAAATAAAGTATATTGACAACATAAGCTATAAGCTGTTCCATAAGAGAATATACCAGGTGGTAACCAGCCTTTGTCTGGTAGCGCACATCTCTACGTAACAGCATATGTAGTGACTAGTGCCCAGTGGAAAGGGAGAACTGGTATATTCTATTTTGGAACAGAGTACATACATCTATATTTGATACGGGACACTAATAAATTACTATTCGTATCCATGATTTTATTTAATTATTGATATTCATATTGGTAATAACAGTAATTAGCAACCCAAAGCATCAGATTAAAACCAGTAGGTACTATTAAATTTTAAAATAATCAGATCTTAGATTTATTTAATTGATTATATGGTTGAGTATGGATAAATAAAATACAGCAATTTGTTTTAAACAATTATTTTTATATCGCTTAATATAGTTGTTATAGCGAAACATGTTGGAAATATATAGAAAATGATAGTATCATTGAACCAAATAATATTTGTTTAAAATTTTTCTTCGTCGAGCCCGTGTTTGAACAACATCAACACTGGTACGTTGTCGTCACCAATGTCTCTGTATTCGAGCATAGCCACCATGCCGTTTTCGATATCCATGTTTTCGCCGGTGAAGAACTGAAGTTCCTTGAATCTCGTGAGCAGATCTTTCATTACCTGCGGAAAACATAAATCAGACGGTATTAACGCTGGACAAAATGACAACCCAACCGATCGCACATAGGCCCTAGGTACTTATATACAACAGGGGAGCGCGATCCGCACGCGTAATAAGAAACCCGTTCAACTCACTTTGTTGATATTGGTTTTGAAGACGTCCACCTCGGTGCTGCCGTTCTCGGTCATCTTGTCCACTAACCGTTTCATGTACTCCTTGAGGTATAGAGTAAACGATTTCTTGTCCGGAAACGCGTATGTTTCCATCAAACGGTGGTTGAGCACAACATCCACACCGCTTTCCACGGCATCCTCGGTGCCCTCACAGCTCTCTTCAGCGGACGGGTTGGCGCCGTCGAGGGTCACGTCGCCCACTTTACGGGTGATCAGTTTGCCGTACACCTCGTACAGGACGCCGTCGATCAGCTTGAACTTGTAGGTGTCCGAGAACATCTCGTCACCGGAGAAAATGTCTTTGAAGATCTTCATTATAAAAAATTGACGACCGGGGGCGCGAAAATCGAACTGTAAAAACGACAGACGGTTGCTGACACGCGGCCAAGGCAGTGGGAAGAGGGCAAAAGACCCGAAGCACAAAAGAATCAGGCCTAAAAGGAATAACGTGGAATTTATCACTCCGATATCATGAAAATTCTTCGATTTGTTCTATGTTTGATTGCAAAGAGGTTGGATAAGACCAAGAGATTCGTGTTGCATGAAAAATATCTTTGGAAACGGTATTCTGGCGGGAAGGTTTGATTTATATTTTGAATTTTGATATCCATTCATGTCGCATTTATTTTTTAAATAAAACCATCATAATTAATAATAGAAATAGTTTTCAAAAGCGTTAGAAAAAACAAACAAAAAGTTAAGAAAAAACTGGGATTTTTAAGCTAAACCATTTAAATAAAATTGTTTTAACTAAAAAAAACCATAGATGCATATTATTCTTACAGAATTTTTTTATCAATATAACAAACATGACAAATTATTAAAATTAATAAAACAAAGATTCTTATAAATAGTTCATACAGTAACCAAAAAATCTAAAAAATATAATATAAAACAGTTATTTTTTACAGACATTTTAAATTCAAATTTGGACAGAATTATATATTAAAACCAAAAATAACGATTTTAGTTATTTTGTTGTAAGTATTTTTTTGGGTAGGTATATGAAACTTTTAGTGTATATTATTATATTTTATACACACAAATACATTTTAAAATAAAATTGTATTGTCAAAAATGAATTTAACCTACTGTTGACTGTTGTACTAATGCCTATTAGTAAAATAAATTACTTTAATCATAATAATATTATAATATCATCAATTAATATACTTAGTAATATTATATTCTGACAGACCCGAGACCGTCTTCGTTCAGAATCGTTTTTCCTATATGACGATTTTATATCATTGAATTCAAATTTAACAAATCCATTACAGTGACACTCTAGAAGTGGCATGGCGAATTTGATTAACTTATGAGGCACAATAATTGTATTATTGTAAATGGTAACTGAGAATGATTGGCTTAGGCTTAGTGTGTACTTAATACATTATTTACTAAATGTGAAATATCCCTAGTTTTTAGCACACCCACCATCCTTTAAGCTGATAGGCACGTGACTCAAATAAAGTCTTTCCTCACGCCACTGCACCCTGGACACCTAATGTACAGCAGAGCGTTATCCACTTGCCCAATTTTAGATTTTGAGTGAAACGATGAATGTATTGATTTTACAATGATTGAATGATGTGTGTTTTTTTTTTTTTTTTGTGTCTGTTATCACGTTTTATGACAGTAAAAATGATTAGATTTTCTTCAACGGTATCTTTTCTGATTGGAAAGTGAATCTAGTTGGTACTTTGGATGATCAAAAGTAAAAATAGTAGATTTCAAAAAACAAAAGAAAAATTAAGGAAAAACGGGAATTTTTACACAAAATCTGTTTTCGAAAAAATAGATTTTGGTTTTTGGTGTAAACAAATTACCGTAGGTACATGAAATTTTCACTGGTTGTTTATATTTCCATTTTCTATACATGATAACATTTTCAATATTTTGATATGTTTTGAACTGTTTAGGGACATTTTCAGTTTCCCATTTTATTAGTTTTTATTTCTATGAATGTCAATAAAACTTTATTTGTTGAGTAAAACTACTTGAAAATTTAATAAAATGCTCCTATTATATTGTTCCAATGACATTTGAAAAATATTAAAAATCATCAGTCACCGTTTTTTTTTATAAGCATTTAAAGTTCAAAAATTGGTAAAATATGGAAAAATCACGAAAATTAGCAAATTATTTTGATATAAGAATTCATAAAAAATTTTCTTTTTAAATCTAAGATTTAGAAATGTAATACAAATGTTAGTTTATATTTATTAGTATTAAGTATTAGTATACATAATATTAATATATATAAATATAATATGTAACCAGTATTTATAATAAGTATATTAATCACACAGCACATTTCATTAATCTTGGTTTGAATTACGCATTTATTAGGTGTGTCGCACGCGCACTACACTAAATTATACGTACCTAATACACTAATACTTATCTATAATATAAGTTTGGTCGACATATTGTGGAGTATTGGGATAACCATCTAGAAGTTAAACATTTAAAATCATTCGTTAATTTGAGTGTGTATATTATATTTTTTCCATTTTTATATGTTAGGTCATAGATCCTTAGTGGCTTAATCGCTGAAGTTCTATAATACCTATATGCAAAAATAATTTTTTGTTTATGGATCATAGAAAGATAAAATCTCCCAGCATCTAATAATGTCTAGTATTCAAATGTAATCTTCATGAAAATGAAACCATATAGTTGTTTATGTGGTTGTATTGTACTCTACTACTCTAGGCTGTGGCCTGTGGATGAGTTAAGATAATTTGCTCCCGTATAACACTCATTCAACTTAGGGCTCAATCACAATTCACAGTTCCTCGTGTACCTACCCTCCTCAATTTTGGAGACGAATCATGTGAGTTCCACATCGTATATTAATTAATTTTCCAGCTCTCTCATTACAGATATATCAAAAAAAATCTTTTAGTTTTTTTTGCACCATTTTATTTTCTTTGTCTGTATTAATTCCTTATCTTAAAATAATTAAATTAAAATAAAATCTTAATACTGATTTTAAAATGTAATGACTATATATAGTTGAAACACTCACTACTAATTTGTATCACTATAATAATCTTTGTTCATTCTAAAGTATTTAACGGTTCAACGGTTGAAATGTAATAATATTGTTGTTAATGTTTCACTTTTGTCTATATAATTAGAAACCCTTTATATGTCATCGATTAAAAATAAAATAATGGACTAATGTAAAATAAAGTGGTCCTTCTCTTTAACAATATTTTTATAAACATGACATTTATACTATAAGTACGTATAGATACCTATAATCGCTGACAAATTACAATCATGAATATCTCATTTTATATATATTGAATACTACATTAAAATTAAATGGACTAATAAATAATAATATAGGTCACAATGCTGCATAAATAAACAGTCTTCGTAAATGTAATAGGTATATATTGTTGCCGAAATGTAGGTAGGTACCCATTATATTATTATCTGATTGACGCAATTGCAATTTCATAGATAAACTTCTTCATTATTTTATATATTTTCATAATTAAGAATTTAGAAGTTTATATTTAATGATAAGGTAGTTTTATATTTAGTGTATATGCGAACACAGGGCTTTTTTTAATGTCAAATTCGTGTTAACGGCTCAACCAATATAATTTTGAATTTGCAAACCTAGCTATTTAAATAGCTTAAAAATCAAACGTGCATCATTATAATGTGGTATTTACATATGAAAAATAAACATAAAATGTTGACTATAGAATAATGCGCAATGCAATTTTTAAAATATAACTATAAATTAGAATAACAGAAGTACAAAAAGAACAAAGGATTTTGTATTAAATACTCAGGTGTCAGGACTTTCGAAATTTAAATGAAAATGAAAATTTCTATAAGATAAAATCAGAAATAACACAAAATAAATTGTATTTATGTGATTTATTTTGCAATCGGAATTAAAGTCGAGGAAAAAATCCAATAGGAAAAAACGGCAAGGATAAAAGAGACAAGGAAATAAAAAACTACGGAAAAAGATGCGGGTATGATAATAATAATAATAACAGTAAAATAAAATTAGTAATATTTGATATTTTGTTTTAGTACACTTAAGTGTAGTGTAGTGTAGTGACTAGTGTTATATATTATATTATTATGGCTTTCAAAATTATAATCATTCGAAAATGGTTTACCAATAATATAATATAATAATTTTATTTTGTAATATAAGTATGTACTATATTTCGTAGTAGGTACAAGGGACCTATAGTTAATTAGTTGTGGTTATAACATAGGCGTAGTTAGGGGGGGCTTGAGGGGGCTTAGCCCCCCCAGTTGGAATTATAGCCCCCCCAAAAAAAAAAAAACTTAAGGCCACCTATATTTAAAAAATATTCAAATAAATAATTTTTTAGATATTTAAATATCGATAAAAATAATTCTTTATTTTTTTTATGTCACTTCATCCATTACATTTCTTATAAGTTATAATATCATTCAATAATGTGTTGTTTTTGTCGATCGATATTATGTCGTTAAGGTTAAATTGTGCTTATTTTATTAAAATACGTCCATACGTCATCTATTCATTATTTTATTATGTTATTATTATTTACTAAAATCACAGAACAATAAAATGCAATAGCGATAACCTATTACAGTTGAAACATTTCCGAATCTATACAAACTTCTGAACTTGGCTTTAAGTATACCAATTTCTTCAGCATCTTGTGAACAGTCTTTTTCGACTATGAGAAAAATCAGTACTTACCATGAATCATGATCGTTTTTCCTCTTTAGCTATTATTAATATTGAAAGAGATGTATCGAATAATAATAATTCTGAAGATATTTTAGAGATATATTCTAAAGAAAATAGACGTTTAATGTTGTAACAGTAAAAAAAAAAAAAAATAGAATATTTTAATAAAACCTTTGATTGTCACACGTTATTTGTATTTTTTATGTAAATTTGCAGATGTACCGGTTGGGGGGGTTGTTAAATCCTTTCCCTGGAAGGGCTAAAGCCCCCCCAAAAAAATTTATCACCCTACGCCTATGGTGTTATAACTGTTATAATATTAGGTATATTTAAAGTTCAGATGAGCGGAATTGCAGTGTACCAACATTTTTCGGGGTTACCTACCTATACCACAGTATCTATAAAGATAAACTCTTTATAGTTTATAATGAGCCTATACTCTCTTCGATCTTAAATTTCTAACAATATAGGTAACTAATGTCTAAATATTCATTATCATATTGAACCTACCCTTTACCTACTTGTTCGATATTTGATTTTTATGTATCAAAATGTATTCTAAAAAGAATATTCTACTTCGGAATATTAA